ACAGAGTCCAGAACTAAGCCAGGGCTTGCTAACCAGGTTTCTCTGCCTTTCCCCTTTGTGCCTTACCTTCTACCTTACAAGGACCGGAAGTGAATGCCAGGAGGATTGAGATCTGAGGACAGATACCTTGTCTGAAAAATAACCTACAAGAAAAAGGGCCAAAGGTGTGGTTCAAGTGGTAGAGGGCATGCCTAGTAAGTGTCAGGTCCTGAATTCAAACCCCAGTACTTCCAAAAATGTTTTGTTTTGCTTTTTCAAAGTTAGAGTAGCATTTGATTCGAGTCAGTAAGTTATAACAGTCTCAGTTCTCATGCCATAGTCCCCTCACCAGGTGCCTTTCTTCCCTGATAAACCTCCATGCTACACAAATATCCTGCTACTAACAGCAACCGTGACTTTTCTGACCTGGACCCTCTTCTGGTCTCCCACTGAGGCTACCTCCTAATTTTGCAGGTGAGGAAGCTGAAGTAGCAAGGACAGTGATTGGCTCAAGTCCACATGAATCGAACCCTGAGACGAGGCTAGAGACCTTGCCTGCTTTGTATTGCTCTCCCCATCTCTTGCCTGGCTTTTTTTTTTGCTCAAAGCTAGTTCTCTATTGCTTAAACCATGCCTCTTCTTTCAGCTTTTTGCTCACTGATTGGAAGTAAGTCTTGGGTTTGTCTTCCCAGGCTGGTTTAGAACCAAGATCCTCAGATATCAGCCTCCTTCTTGTATTTTTTAGTTTCTGGGGTGAGAGAGATACAGACAGAGACAGAAACAGAGACAGAGACAGACAGAGAGAGACAGACAGATAGACAGACAGATGGACAGACACAGACAGAGCAATTTTGAGACACAGAAACAGCTAGTCCTTCATTTGGCTCTGGTGCTTTTTAGCTTCACATGTTTAGCAAAACTTTTCCAAGCCAAAGTTTCTTCCATAATATGGTCCTGTTTTTGAGGATTTGTAAAGATCGAATGGGAAGATGGACCAATGCTATGCCAAGATGGGTGACAATTGTGGTTTCCAGGTATAAAAGCCTGGGTGGGACTTAAACTCAGCATTCAAGGTCAAAGTTTCCATGTTAGAACCAGGAGTGGGCAACACAGCCCTCCCTACCTCTTGGTGTTAGGTGGAGGATGATATGAGGTAGGATTTGCCAAGGGTAACAAAGCCAAATAAAATCCTTGGCATGACCCACCCCTTGTACTGGTTGTCCTACTCTATCTCCTGTTCTCAGGTCAAGTGCAACAGCCTTGTTCTTCATTTCTGTGTCTCCAAGTGGCTTTCCAACACTCCTTGCTTTTCTGCTTACTCCTAGTTCTGTGCTCTGTGCCTGCTCCCCCTGAACCCCCTTTCCCACAGATCCCTTCCTGTACTGGCTTCCCTGTAAGGCTTCATGAAGCCCAGAGACAGCATCTGGCACATCACTGAAGCCCCTAGGCCCATACCCAGGCCCAGACACACCACAGACACCCACTTAGTACACCTTCCCCCTCCTGCCTGCAGGCCAGGCCACCTTGTGTGTTCAACCTTGCTCCTGCAACTCCCTGGCCAGAAATGCAGAAAAGCTGGTTGTCCTCAAGTTCACGTGTATTTAGCCAGAATCAAAGTCTGATAAGTGAATGGTCAGGCAGGGTGTACCCAAGTGCTTTGCTATTTATAATGAAGTGGCTGTGGCAGAAAATGCCCTCTCTTTGTCCACCACCCCCACCCCCAGCCATGGAGCTCTAGCTCTCATTTCTGTTGAAAAAACCATATCCTCTTCCTATGAACCGTTAACCAATGGGGTTCCTTCAGAGATGTGGGGCATGGCAACTGAAGAAGAGGAGCCCAAAGAACCAAAAGCAGAAACAAGACTTTTCTTACAAAAAGGCATTCTACAAAAGCCCTGTGCGCTCATAAAGGGATTGCTTGGGTCATTTCCAGGAGCACTGTGAAGAAAAGAATGATTTCTGATGTTTAATTCTCAAGTAGAAAGATACTACTCAGTGACAATCATGTGTTCCTAATTTCCATTCATTTATTGTCAGGAGCCAAGAGTGAATTAAAATATAGGCCAATGGTGATATGATGTTCTATTGTTGGGAATGCATCCATACCTAGAAACATTTCCCATTCCTCAGAGTAAGGTGCTGCAGATACATGGGACAAGTTCCATCTATCCCCATCCCCACTCCTGGCACATGTTGCTCAGGGATCATGGTATTTAGCATAGGACTTAAGAGGTCAGCTCTAGAATCATTCTGCCTGGTTTGAGTCCTGGCTCTGCCAGTTATCAGATAATTCCATGATCTTGGGCTTTTCCTTCAACCATGCAGTGTATCAATAAGCTCAACAATAAATGGGAACAGAAAAGCACCTGCCTCAGACCATGGAGTTGATTGGGTGATGTAATATATAGATGGTCTACAGTTCCAACTCAATGATTTTCCAACTTTACAATAGTGCAGAAGCAATATGCATTCAGTAAAAACCACTTTTTGAGGGCTGGGAAGGTGATTCAGTGGTAGAGCACTTGCCTTGCATGCTCGAGGTCCTGGGTTCGATTCCTCAGAATCACATAAGAAAAAAGCCGGAAGTGGCACTGTGGCTCAAGTGGTAGAGCGCAAGCCTTGAGCTGAAGAGCTGAGGGACAGGCCCAGAGTTCAGGCCCCATGACCGGACCCCCCCCAAAAAACCATTTTTTGAGTTTTGATCTTTTCTCTTGCTAACAATAGGTGATCCAGTCCTCTGTACTTATTTTTGAAATATGGGATGGAACCCAAGGCCTTGCATATGGTAGGGAAGGACTCTACCCTTGAGCTACATACTCAGTCCTTTCAATTATCTCTTGAGACCAAGTGGTTGCATTAGCAGCTGAAGCACCCAGGCAGCCATGTGACCAGAAGAGTACACAGCTAATATTCTAATGTACTGTCTTGCTAAATTGGGCAGATGCTGGGCAGAAAAGGTGCATTACATGCATCACCCACATCTGATATTTTCAATTTACAATGAAATTTCAGGAATCAAATTTATTATAAGTTGAGTATATTATAAGTATTCTTGTGTGAAGCTCTAAGAATGGTGTATAGCTCAAAGTAAGTACTCACAAAATATTAAATACTTCATCCAAAATATGCCTACTAACAGGCGAATAAATAAACACATTGTGGTATACATATGCAATGGAATACTCACCAATGAAAAAAAGATGAAAACTATACAATGGAATACTATTCAGCCACAAATAGGATAGAAACAATACACATCCACCTACCTTGAAGACTGTCCAAATAACTACTGAGTAGAAGATGCTAGATGATAAAGTTCATACTGTAGCCAGGCGCTGGTGGCTCACGCCTGTAATCCTAGCTACTCAGGAGGCTGAGATCTGAGGATCGTGGTTCAAAGCCAGCCCGGGCAGGAGAGACTGCGAGACTCCTATCTCCAATAAACCACCAGAAAACCGGAAGTGGCGCTGTAGCTCAAGTGGTAGAGCGCTCGCCTTGAGCTGAAGAGCTGAGGGACAGCGCCCAGGCCCAGAGTTCAAGCCCCACGACCGACTAAAAAAAAAAAAAAAAAAAGTTCATACTGTAGGATTCCATTTATAGCTGAGAAGTGCGAACTAATCCACGGTGGCAGAAAGTAAATCAGTGGTTGCTTGACTGGTGATGTCAGGGACAGGAAGGAAGGAGAGAAGGGTTACCAAAGCGTAGGAGGTAACTTTGGGGTTGATGGGTTGGTTTACTATCTTGACTGTGCAATTGACTTCACAGGTGTACATGTGTCAAAACTTACCAAATGGTAAACTTTAAAGTGTGTGTGTGTGTGTGTGTGTGTGTTTCAGTTGTACCTCCGTAACTCTAGGGAAAAATATTAAGCTGGGTGCCAGTGGCTGACACCTGTAATCCTAGCTACTCAGGAAGCTGTGATCTGGGATCTCGGTTCAAAGCCAGCCGGGGCATGAAAGTCCATGAGACTCGTATCTCCAATAAACCACTCAGAAAACCAGAAGTGGTGCTGTGGCTCAAGTGGTAGAGTGCTAGCCTTGAGCTGAAGAGCTGAGGGACAGTGTTCAGGCCCAGACTTCAAGCCCCATGACCGACAAAAAGAAGAAGAAAGGAAAGAAAGAAAGAAAGCAAGAAAGCAAGAAAGAAAGGAAGGAAGGAAGAAAGAAAAAGAAAGAAAGAGAGAAAGAACAGAAAAGAAAATAAATATTAGCGGTGCCTGTTCCCCATCTTTCTGAACACAGTCCCCCAGGGGGTACAGCTTGGATCAAGGTATATGGGACATCCTAGATGAAGGTTTTGATGCTTTCCCATTTATGAAAGTTACAATTCTGTAAATTACTAGTCCTCCAAATCACTCTGGGCATTATTTTCATCAATAACCTAGAATTATAATTCTTACCTGGAGATCAACTGTGAAAATGTTCGACAAAGCCCTCTAAGAAACTGCACAGGATCAAAAGAAGGCGATGGTGCCCTGCTGCTTGCTTCAATACCTGATGAGTGGGCAGGACTTAGTCTGCCTCTTCAAGCATCTCTTTAATAAATATTATTTTGCGTGAATGTCTTTTTATTTTGTTTTTTCTTTCACACAACTCACACACTATATAGCCCAGGCTGGCCTCAAAGTCATGATCCTCCTGAATGCTGAGATTGTAGGCAGGCCTGGCACAGTGAGGGGAGTGGGGACCAACCTCCGGTGGGAAAGTGGCTCCCTCTCCCCCTCTCTCTTCCTCTCCCCCCCCCCCGCCCCCACTCTCCCCCTGTGTCTCCCTCTCCCCTTCTCCCCTACCTTTCCCCCTCACTCCTCCTCTCCCTCCCTCTCCTGGCACTGATTACTTGGGCACTGATTACGCGTGACCTGGGGTTGGTGTGCTGGTTGTGGGTCGGGGGTGGAGGGGCGGGGCGGAGGAGGCGGCTCGTGGTGGGCGGCCCCCGCGGACAGCGGCGGGTTCGGGCCCCGCCCCGTTGGCGAGGCACGCCCGCTGCGCCGACCCGGGGTGGCCCAGAGCTGCGCCCCGCGCGCCCGGAGGCAGGTCGGGGTCCAGCGCCGCTCGGATTGATTCGCCGTCCGCACCATGAAGATGCATTTCTGCATCCCGGTGTCCCAGCAGCGGCCCGACGGGCTGGGGGGCCGCTACGTGGTGCGCTGGGGGGCGGCCGGGTCGGGAGGGGGCCTGTGTTCCGCGCCCCGCTAACCGGGACGGGATGTCCGTGTGCTTGCAGCTGTATTCCGTGTACCTGGACGGGTTCCTCTTCTGCCGGGTGCGCTACAGCCAGCTGCACCGCTGGAACGAGCAGGTGAGCGGGCGGAGGCGGGCGCACCCCCCACCCGAGGCCGCTGCTCCAGCGGGTGCCCAGAGGCCTCTGGGAATGTGGCTTTCTCGGGACACCCGGCTTTGGGGGACTTCAGGCTCCTGATTCGTGGGACGAGGTTGCGGGGAGGATTAATTAGGAATTGCTTACAGGTAGATGGACACATCTGCATCAACCGTCCACAGGTGTGAGATGAGGAAGAGGCCCAGTGATTCTGCCAACCCCACTCCAGCCCTTGAACACTGACCAATCCCAATCAGCTCGGGGTGCTGGGTCTTGGGTGGGGGCCCAGGGTTTCCCAGGACGGTGTCCTCCTTCAGAATGAATAAGTCAAGTGGAGACCAGGGTGCAGCGTTCGCAAGGCTGCACATGACTGTCTAATCTTCCCCCCACCCCCAAGAGTTTGTAAGTTCACTCACTTTTAAAAAAGACGTCTGTATTTTTGTTTCAGGTTCGGGTGAACAAGTAACCAAGGACACACATGGCTTTTCACGTTGGGAGTCCATTTTTCATTGTAGTTTCTCACTTTTCTCTGGGAGGCAAATGGGTTTAATGGATTTTATTGTTCATTTCAGTAGGACCTGTCAAGTCTTCAAAATGTGTTAGAGAAGTAAATGGCACTTGGGAAATGTTCTTGTTTTCCACACACTTTTACAAGTACAGTAGTTGGGTTTTCTCCCTTATTTATTTTAGACTTTAAAGAGCACTTATCTGCAGTTAAAAAACAAAAACAAGAAACAGCTTGCTCAGAGACAACAACTATCAGCATACATTTGGGAGGGGCTGAGGGAAGCCTTTCAGTCTTGGTTGCTAGAGAGTCATAAGTGCACCTGTTTCATTTAGCCTCCTTCTCTTGGTGGACTGCTTTACTTTGATTTTTCTACTCTTGAAAACATCACAGTGCTAGAATTTGCTCTTCCATCACAATGCACTGGAAAGGTCTATTTTCAGGGGATGAAAATCTTTGGTGTTAACAAGAAAATGGGTATGTTGTGATTTTTTTTTTCTTGCCAGTACTGGGGCTTGAACCCAAGATCTAGGAGCCGGTCCTTTAGCTTTTTTGCTCAAGGCTGATACTCCAACTACCCCTTGAGCCACAGCACCACTTCTGGCTTTTTGCTGCTTAACTGGAGTTAAGAGACTTACAGACTTTCCTGCTGGGACTGGCTAAGATTCATGAACCTCAGATCTCAGCCTCCTGAGTAGCTAGGATTACAGGTATGAGCCACTGGAACCTAGGTCAAAATCTTTTTTTTTTTTGGTTCCGGTCGTGGGGCCTGAACTCTGGGCCTGGGCGCTGTCCCTCAGCTCTTCAGCTCAAGGCTAGCATTCTACCACTTGAGCCATAGCCCCGCTTTCCGGCTTTTTTCTTTTTGCTTATGTGGTGCTGAGGAATCGAACCCAGGCCCTCATGCATGCAAGGCAAGTGCTCTGCCACTGAGCCACCTTCCCAGCCCCACCTAGGTCAAATTCTTAATGACTTAATGCTAAACGAAATGAAAAGAAAGCAATAGAAGGGTCCCCATCTCTATGCATACATGTGGTAAGTATAAGTCTATTTCCTTATAAAAGTGAAAATTACAATTATAGCTGTGTGAATTTTGGCTATGAGGATTGGATTTATATTTTGTATAGTCAATACCTATTTATTTAGTTATTTTTGTGCTTGTACTAGGGCTTGAACTCAGAACCTTGCACTCTTGTCTAGCTTTTTTGCTCAAGGCTGGCACTCTACCACTTGACCCATAGCTCTACTTCTGGCTTTTTGCTGATTCATTAGAGATGAGTCGTGGATTTGTCTGCCTGTGTTGGCTTCAAATCTCAATCCTCAGATCCCAGCCTTCTGAGTGGCTGATCATAGGCTTGAGCCATCACGGGCACCTGGTTTGGTAGCTAGCTATATGTTTGATTGAGAAGGACTTCCTACCCAAATGAGGTGGTCTTAGTCCACTTAGCCAGGGTAGGTAAAGAGCTAATCCATGAATGACTGAACCTGAGGAAGAGATGGGTGTGTATCCATGAGGTCACCTGTGACGTGCTCTCTGAGATCATCACCTGCAGCTCTGTCCTTCCTTGGGTGAAGCTTTCTTAGGGCTGGTAGAGTGCTGCTCATCCCTCTGCCACATAAACTGGCTGGCTCATCTCTCTGTGCCTTCGGATGAATAAAAACACTTTGATTTATGCCTCTGTCTTTGCCTGCACTATCCTCCTTAAATGATGTAAAGAAATCTGCAAAGATAACAGCCATTCTGTTCCAGTGTTAAGAGGAGGCATCCTGTGTAAGTGATGCTGAACTGGGTGCTACTTTTTGCACTCTGCCAGCATCAGATATGACAGTGAGGATAAGTTGGGGCCAGTCAAGCTTAGAAAGGACACTGTAGCAGGGGCAGGGGCTGGGATCTGTGCAGGCTCATTATGCCCTTTGGTGTGCCTCCCTGCTCGGTGTTGCTTCTCCTGTTCCATCCCACGCTGGGCTACTCTAATCTCCCCCTTTATTTTTTTCTTAAACAAGGTTTTGGTAATGTAACCCAAGCTGACTTCATATTCTTGCATTCCTTCTGCCTCAGCTTCCAGATTGCAGATGTGCACAACCAGGCTTGACTTTGATCTCTTTCTCTTTCTCCATTCATCTTCTATTCCTATCAGGCTGGACTACTCATTATCCATGCCTTGTTCACCTCCTCTCCTTGGAAGACTTGGTTTTGGGCTCACCAGGAAGGTTGGTTGCATAAGGTACCTCTGTCTGATTTCTGCGACACTTTGTGTTTAGATGCCACAACCCAGAGCACTTTGAGCTGTAGATCCTCTTTTGGCTAAAATAGAACTTGGGGAAGTGGGAAGAATGAGTCAAGGTTGGAAATAGAGAAGGAAGAAAGGACTCCATTTATAACTCCACTTGTCCCAAGTTGCCACCACCCGGTATCAAGGCTGTGAGTGAGGTGAGGCAGGGGTGATGTTTCCCAGTATGATCTTTTCACATTAAGAGACAGAGTTTCACAATGGGATGTCAGGGTAGAGGATTAAAAGGTATCACTAGATGAAGCCAGTGGCTCACACCTGTAATCCTAGCTACTCAGGAGGCTGAGATCTCAGGATCATGGTTCAAAGCTAGCTCAAGCAGGAAGGCCAGGAGACTCTTATCTCCAATAAACTACCAAAAAGCTGAAAGTGGAGTTGTAGCGCAAGTGGTAGAGTGCTAGCTTGAGCAAAAGAGGCTCAGAGACAGTGCCCAGGCCTTTAGTTCAAGCCCCAGGACTGACACAACAACAACAAAGTATCTCAATGTAGTTTCTGGGGGAGAGAGAAAAAATGAGGGGGGAGGGGGGAGAATGCTTCAAGCAAACAAAACACCTAATAAAAGCACAGAAGACTTAAATTTTCCTTTGACAGAGAGATTGAGCTGAGCTATAGAATCAGAAAATTTGCTGTAGAGTTTCAACTGCTATATTTTGTGTTGAGATTCATAAAAAAAGGACTCTGTTGGTATTGTTGAACTTTAGCCACATTCGAGAAGGGAAGTGAATGATTCTTCGTGGAGTCATCTCACGCTGTGAAACCTGCGGGGAGGCCTTATGCCCTATGATGGGCCTTAATGTGTGTTGACTTGCACCAGCTCTTGGCCTCCAAGATGGGGCTCCTCACGATGCTCTCCTGTAGATGGCTAGCTTTGCTGCCTCAAGGCTGCTACTGTTAGAATCTATTGGAGAACATCTGTGACATTCACGAACACGTGCCTAGGAAGCCCCTGGCCTTTTAAAGATCACTTAATCAGTAAATCAAGAATAACTGCTTCAGCCGAGCGCCGGTGGCTCCTGCCTGTAATCCTAACTACTCAGGAGGCTGAGATCTGAGGATCGTGGTTCAAGCCAGCCTGGGCAGAAAGTCCGTGAGACTCTTATCTCCAATAAACCACTAGAAAACTGGAAGTGGCACTGTGGCTCAAGCAGTAGAGTGCTCACCTTGAGCTGAAGAGCACAGGGAGAGCGCCCAGGCCCAGAGTTCAAGCCCCACAACCGACAAAAGAATAACTGCCTGCAAAAAAGACATAGTTCTGCTTCTGTTGAATGGAATTAGCAGAGACCAGAATGGAATTAGCCTTGCCTTGTCCGGAAGGGAACTCCAATTGGGGTACCTTTTGACAGTCTTTAGCTCAGTAGGAACATTTGAGTTTAAGAGTAGCACAGTTGTAGCTATAATGCTATAGTGGGGTTAGATGAGAGATTGTGCCTGTTGGGCTAGCCAAGTCATTTCATGTGTCCACAATTATAGCATCACATAAAACTGCTTTATTACCCTAAAACATTTCTATACATTTCTATTCAGTACCGTCTGATCCCAAACCCTAGTGTTAACTACTTGTTTTTTTGCTTAACAGTCTCTATATGTTTGCCTTTTACCTAGGATGTCATATAAATGAAATCATGCGGTGTATAGCTTTTCCAGACTGGTTTTTTTTTTTTTTTTGTTTACAATATGCATTTAAGTTTTATCCAGGCTTTTTTTTTTTTTTTTTTTTTTGCTGGTCCTGGGGCTTGAATTCTGGTCCTGGGCGCTATATCTGAGCTCCTTTTGCTCAAGGCTAGCACTTGAGCCATAGACCCATTTCCAGCTTTTTTCTGTGATTGACTGGAGTTAAGAGTCCCATAGATTTTCCTGCTTGGGCTGGCTTTGAACCACAGTGCTCAGATCTCAGCCTGCTGAGTAGCTAGGATTGCAGGCAGGAGCCATCAGTACCCAGCTCTTTTTTTTTTTTTGCCAATCCTGGGTCTTGAACTCAGAGCCTGGGCACTGTCCCTGAGTTTCTTTTGCTCAAGGCTAGCACTCTACCACTTGAGCCACAGCATCACTTCTGGTTTTCTGGTAGTTTATTGGAGATAAGAGTCTCACATACTTTCCTGCCCGGGCTGGCTTTGAACCCTGATCCTCAGATCTCAGCCTCCTGAGTAGCTAGGATTACAAGCGAGAACAGCTCACTGGTCCAAAATAGTATTTTTATAAGTAGTATCCCATTATAAGGATGTCTATCGTTGCATGGATGGAAGGACACCTTTGTGGCTTTCTGTTTGGGGGTTATAATAAAGCTACTCTAAATGTTCACATGTGGGTTCTTGTGTGGCCATAGTTTTCAAATTAGTCTAATAAATACTTAAAAGAGTGATTGTTCAATTATTCAGTAAGAGTAGATTCAGCTATATAAGAAACTGTCTTCCAAAGTGACTGATACTTTGTATTAAATATTTAAATAATAAAAATAAAAAATTAAATCACAAAGTAAATGTTGACCTCAAAGTAAAATTCTCTAAAATCAGATATCTAAATATAAGCATCAAGGAGCTATATTTGTCCATAATTATATAGTTAATAATTTTTCTAGATGTTAGACCAATACTTTTCCAGTAGAAACTTCTATACATATGGAAGTAATTCTAGATCTGTTTTTCCAACTCAGTAAGAACTAGCCACCTTCCATGGCTGCTGAGCACTTGTGACTATTGCAACTGAAGAATTGAATTTTACGTTACGAAAATCTCATTTTAGCTAGTTTAGATTTAAATTTGCTCACAGATGGCTAATGGCCACCATATTGAATGATACAGTTCAAGACCACTGGGATGATTTTGGCTTTTACTTGTGTGAGACGGGAAGCTGTGGAAGAATTTGAGCCAGGAGTGCAATGGTGTGACTTACATTTTGGAAATTCTACCTTAGATGCTGTATAGAAATAGATGAAGGGAGGTCAAGGATAGAACAGAGAGAGACCTTTTGGACGCTTAACTCAATAATCTGGAAAATGGGCATCTGCTCGTGATTTGGTTTGCATATAGTGCTATGGTCGAGAGAAGTGGTCAGATTCTCTATATCTTTTGAAGTTAAGAACTATGTAAGATAAATATTTGCATATCTATGCACTGTAATTCTGGAGCAGATAATCAAGTTTTAAATCTTGTCTGTTCTCAACCTCATTTTGCTTAGATATGTTTTCATTTTGTTTTTAGCCAAAGATTCTGGTAATAATAGTTTCAGCACCTTTAGAGGTGCTGTGTTAAACCGTGACTGGGTTTCTTCTGACTGGTGTCCTTTGTGGGTTTGTGTGTGTGTGCATGCAAAACGTGTGTGTGCTTATGTGTGCCAGTCCTAGGGCTTCAACTTGGGCCCGGGCACTGTTCTTAAGATTTTTTGCTCAATGCTAACAATGTACCACTTAAACCAACTTGAACCACAGCTCTACTTCTGGCTTTTTATTATTATTGTTGTTGATGGTAGTTTAGTAGCGATAAGAGCATCACAGACTTTCCTGTCCAGGCTGGCTTTGAACAGTGATCCTCAGATCTCAGATTCCTGAGTAGGTATGAGTACAGTTATGAACCACCTACAGCCAGCTCCTTTGTGTTGTTTTGAAGAGATGGATACCATCTCACCTTTAAGCTGCCACTGAGAGTATGGGGCTAGAATACAGAAGACTCTTTTAGTTCCTAATTTTGTGAATTTTCCATAGAAAGAATTCCCACCATGGTCTTGCAATAAGACTAACCTGGGAGAAAAATGCCTGACTATAGTCTTTACTGGGATAGTAGTTAGTCTTACTGGAATTCTCTGTTACTGTCCAATAGGAATATCATATGACTCATATATCTAATTTAAATTTTCTGATAATTATATTAAAAAGAATAAAAAGATCCAGCTACTCAGGAGGCAGAGATGAGAAAGCCAGGGTTTAATACCAGCCCAGACAAAGTTAGTGTGAAAATCTATTTTATAAAACAAGGTATGCCCGGTACCTGTGGCTCACGCCTGTAATCCTGGCTAGCTAGTCAGGAGGCTTAGAAATGAGGATTGCGGTTCAAGGCCAGCCTGGGCAGGAAAGTCAGTGAGACTCTTATCTCCAATTAACCACCAGAAAACTGGAAGTGGCCGCTGTGGCTCAAGTGGTAGAACACTTGCCTTGAGCTGAAGAGCTGAGGGACGGCACCCAGGCCCAGAGTTTAAGTCCCATGAGTGACAAAACAAATCAAAAACAAGGTTGATGTGGTGATGCATGCTTACAATCATAGCTACTGGGAGGCAAGGTAGGAAGACTGAGGTTTGAGGACAGCTTGGGCAAAAGCGTTAAGACCCTATCTGAAAAACAAACTAAAGCAAAAGGACTGGGAGACTTGGCTTTTGTAATAGAGCCCTTGTTAAGCAATTCAGTCTCCAATACTGCCAAGTTTTGTTGTGAAAAGTAAAAAGAAACAAATGAAATTTACTTTGACAATATGTGCAATCGATCAAAACATTATCATTTCAATGTATAATTAGTATACAAATGATCTATGAGATTTTTTTGCATTTTCTTTGAACTAAATCTTTAAACTCTGGGTGTGTCTTACCCTTGTGGCTCATTTTAAACATTCATAGGCACAGGTGATAGTGGCTGTTTTATTAGATAGCACAGCTGTATACATCTGTCCAGTTCAGATTTCATAGAGTTGGGGTTGAAGAATTAAGTTCTACTATAATCGTTGAATTGCAGATATTATGGAGTGATTTAAGAAATGCAGACTGATGGAGGAATGGGCAATCTTATAAACACAAAAATCAAAATCGATTCTAACTCAACCAAAGTTAGGAATTCTCAGATTGTGTCAGGTCTAATATCATCTTTAGAACATTTGCTGAAATATATTCCCCCTTAAGAAAATCAAATTTTCCTCTTTTCCTTCCTTGGACAATGAAGAAGCATTAGTTTTAAGGAAAGTGTTGGGCTTTGCTCTGAGAAGAGGCCTTAGCATCTTACCAATGCTGAATTTGGAGCAAACCTGCTTTAACTGTGTATTTTCTGGATCTCTCAGCTGAAGCGGGTCTTCGGAAATTGCTTGCCGCCCTTTCCACCAAAGTACTATCTGGCAATGACCACCTCTATGGCCAATGAGAGGAGAGACCAGTTGGAACAATACTTACAAACTGGTGTGTATTGTGATTTAAAAAATAAACACCTGAAGATTGAGCTATAAGTTACAAATCACAAAGTTGATCTGTTTTAAAGTGCTAAATGGATGGTTTTGAACATTTTGAACTGTGCAACCATAGTTTTAGAATATTGTCATCACTCCAAAAGAAAACTTGTGCCAATTGGCAGTCAATATCTTCCCCTATTGGGTCCTGGAAACCACTATATTATTTTCTATCTATAAATTTGCTTAGTGGCGCTGTGGCTCAAGTGGTAGAGTGCTAGCCTTGAGCAAGAGAAGCTCAGGGACAGTGCCCAGGTCCTGAGTTCAAGCCCCAGAACTGGCAAAAAAAAAAGTATAAATTTGCTTATTCTTGATACTTCATATGCATAGAACTGTGCAGTGTATTATTATATTGAGTTTTTAGAATACTTTGTGTTGCTGGGCACCAATGCCTATAATCCTAGCTACTCAGGAAGCTGAGATGGAAGGATTGAAATTTGAAGCCAACCCAGGCAGGAAAGTCATGAGACTGTTATCTTCAGTTAATCAACTGAAAGCCAGGAGTAGAGCTGTGGCTAAAGTGGTAGAGTCCTAGCCTTGAGAGAAAACAAAAACAACTGAGGGACAGTGCCCAGGCCTTGAGTTTATGCTAATTCTGGCATAAACATAAAATAAAATTAAAATAAAATAGGTTGTGTTAAGACTCACTCTAGGTGGGTTTTTTGTTTTGTTTTGTTTTGTTTGCTTTTTGTTGATACTGGGGCTTAAAAACTGAAGCCTGGGCTGGGAAGTAGTAGAATGCTTGCCTTGCATGCATGAGGCCCCGGGTTCGATTCCTCAGCACCACATAAGCAAAAAGAAAAAAGCCGGAAGTGGTGTTGTGGCTCAGGTGGTAGAGCACTAGCCTTGAGCTAAAGAGCTGAGGGACAGCGCCCAGGCCCAGAGTTCAGGCCCCACGACCGGACCCAAAAAAACAAGCAAACAAACAAACAAAAAAACTGAAGCCTCCTCTTTGGCTTTTTTTTTTTTTTGCTCAAGAGTGGTGATTTACCACTTAAGTCACACCTCTTTTTCTGTTTTGTTTTTTTTTTGCTGGAGATAAGAATCTCATAGATTGGTCTGCCCATACTGTCTTTGAACAGTTAAACCAAATCCTCAGATCTCAGCATTTTTGGTAGCTAGAATTGAAGCCACCAGTGCCCAGTTGTATTTGACTTTGAGGAAAAGAAAGAAATATTATCTGGCTTAAGATAGAACAAAGGTCAGAGCTTAGGCAGTGCTAAAGATTATACCTTAAACTCAGCCCTTATAATTGGTACGAAGGTACCAAGGATGTCCTGGCCCCTGAAAGGCTGACAGTACTGTAGTCTTGGCTGTTGTCTTTGGCAAGTGTTTAGTTAGCAAGATTAAGCTCTCACATAGAAGAGTGGCTTGAGGGAAAGTAGTTCACATATTTAGACCTTTAAAATCAGTGTACACATGCAATGTTTTTAACAATATAAACTATGCAAAAAGCATACAATAAAGGGTAATCTTCCTCTCACCCTGTCTTCCAGCTCTCTAGAAGTAAACATCCTTACCAGTATTTCATATCCCCAAAAGCAATCTTTATATAGACTAGAGCCCATATAGATACCTTTTTGTTCAGTGCCAATTGAGGTTCAACCTATGTACTTTTCTTTTTTCCCTTTTTTCTTTTGCCAGTCCTGGGGCTTGAACTCCAGACCTGGGCACTGTCTCTGAGCAGCTTCTTTTGCTCCAGGCTAGCACTCTACCACTTGAGCCACAGCACCACTTTCAGCTTTTTCTGTTTATGTGGTATTAAGGAATCAAACCCAGGGCTTTATGCATACGAGACAATCACTCTACTGCTAGGCCACATTCCCAGCCCCCTATATATTTTTCTGTACCTGTTTTCTTTTTTAACTTTTTATTCTGAAACGCAACACACAGAAAAGCAAAAAAAAAAAAAAAAAAAAAAAAGCAAAGAATTTCCTTATATTCTTCAATCAGATTTTCTAACTGTTACATTTGCCCTACCATTCTCTTTCTTGCGTGTATTTGTATATTATGTGTATATATGAACATGTATGCTTTTGAAATGATTCATATCACATACCTAAGTCATTTTATCCTTAAGTATTCCTAAGTATTTTTCCTAAGATCAAGGACACTGTTGTATAAACACATAGAGTTATCAAAATCAGAAAAGTATTGCTACAACATTATCTACAGACCTTAGTTACATTTACTCAAGTGAACTAGCACACTAACGTCCTTCACAATTGAAGTTTTTTCTTCTATATGTTGCCTTTTCCTTTTAGAATACGTATAGTTTGACCTAATTTCTTTCCATAACTGCCTAATTTAAACTTACTAAAAATTCAAGAATCTATAGTAGAGACCTGTTGAATAAGCCCTTTCAAGTTCAAAATGTAATCTCCCTGGCATTTTCAGTCTCTCTTGGTTTTTCTTCTCAAGTCTTAACAAAATCCACCTTAATACCTGGACTTTTTACTGATAACCCCAGCACTTACAAGATCACTGTTCTCGACCCCATCTTGACCATATCATCAGATATCTTGTGTATCCTCTTTGACAAGGTCAAGTGAGGACAGAGTGCAGCTTAGTGTCATTGTCATGACGGAGAGCTTGGGCTTGGGAACAGACCCACAGTCAGATCCCACATTTGCTTCTCAGCGGCTGTGTGACTTCGGGGTGACATACTCACCTGTCAGGTACCTCACTTAGACTCTCAGGGTCTTTTATCTATAAAATGCAGATGACAGGTGCTTCAGGGTTTGTCATGAAGATTAATAGAGCCAAAATGCACAAACTTCTTGTGCCAGTTAACCTGGTACAGTCAGTTATACAGTAAATACATGTATATTAATACTGTTTTTTAAGTTTTCCTCATCCCCAAGAATCTATGCTAAGCCAGACACCAGTGGCTCACACCCATAATCCTAGCTACTCAGGAGACTGAGATCTGAGGATCATGGTTCAAAGGAAAGTCCATGAGATTCTTATCTCCAGTTAACCACCAGAAAACCAGAAGTGGTGCTGTGGCTCAAGTGGTAGTGCTCGCCGTGAGCTGAAGAGCAGAGGGACAGCACCCAGTCCCAGAGTACAAGCCCCACAACCAACCAACCAACAAAAAAAAGAATCTATGCTAAGCAATATATTTTGCCTAATATGCCACGTCTATTCCAGAAAATAAAGACAGAGCTTCCCTTTTCTTTCCTCCCTTGAAACTATTCCCTCAAGACAGAGGGAGCTGTTAGCTCACATCTGTAATCCTAACTTCTCAGGAGGCTAAGATCTGAGGATCACGGTATGAGGCCAGCCTGGGCAGGAAAGGCTGTGAGACTCTTATCTCCAATTAATCATAAAGAAAAGAAGCCAGAAGTAGAACAGTGGCTCAAGTGGGTGAGTGCTAGTTTTGAGCAAATATACTAAGGGACAGTGCCTTAGGCCCTGAGTTGAAGCCCTGTACTGGCACAAGAAAAATAATTAAGACAGAGGGAATGCCTTTGATGGTCGTTGTTTTGAGACAGAGCCTCACTAGGTAGCCCAGACTAAACTTGAACTTGAAATCCTCTTGCCTCAGCCTCCCCAGTGCTGAGATTACATGCCCATCTGGGAATGCCTTTTCCAGAAAGTTTATCATGTCACCAAGTTTTAGTTTATTTGGAACACATGGCATTGCTTGGAAAGGCACATCCTGTAATGAAGTCAGTCAGTGCTAATCTTGAATGCTGATTTGATGAAATCAGCAAAAGAACAGCAAGAAGAAAAGAAGAAATTTAAGAGCAATTCAAAAGTGTACCAAGTTAGTTCAAGTATTGGGTTCAGGACAGATTTGAGGGAAGGGAACCAAGCACAGAGGAGGCAGGCTGGCAGCCCGGAGTCTACAATGCTTACAAGGGCTGGTTTGCTCCTGGCTTCTGCGTAATCAGGTTGAACTTTAAAACTGAGGGCAGGGGAGAGGATTTTTGTAAGATCCAAGCCCTTCAATCTCTTGTCACTCTTTGGATAACCTCTTGAGAGCCCTGATTTTTCAAAGTGGTGCTCTCAATTGATGTTTCTTGGTTGATTGGATTTTTTCAGATGACCCAAACTTGTATGCTCTTTGTGCTGCTTCATTACAGTTTCATCACCATCCCAGCAGGGCAGTGAAATGAATACTGAGCAGTATGAATGAGCATGAATAATGTGAGATTCCTGGGAATGCCATTACCCTGCATTGGCACAAAGGGCTCATGTGGTTAAGGCTTCCTACAATGGGCAAGCTTTGTGGATTTTCCTGTTCTGAAGGAAACTTCCTTGCCTCCAGGGAAGCCACCGTGTGCTGGCCAGGCTTGGAGGATTTCCTGGAGGACAGGCAATTTATAGACAAGGCTCAGCCCAGCTCTTGCTCACCTGGCTTGCTGTCCATATTTTTCAGTAACTGCAGACCCAGATGTGTTGAGAAGTGATGTCTCCATTGAGTTTTTAAGGCTCGTCCAGCTGGTAAGCTTGTCCTTCTTTACTGAGGCTGTTGTTTCTCTGTAGAGTATGTGTCTGTTACCCTTGTGTGCATATGTGTACGTACCTTGTGCTTTCACCATCAGCCATGTAGAGCATGGGCTTGGGTAAAATGTATTAATCTTGAGTAACATGGAGGATGGTTCTTATTCTAAATGGAAAATGAAGCATGCCATTTGGCTTTTGGTTTGCCTTTTTTTTTCCCCCAGTTCTTGGGCTGGAACTCAGGGCCTGGACACTGTCCATGAACTTTTTTTGCACAAGGCTAGCACTCTACCACTTGAGCCACAGTGCCACTTCTGGCTTTTTCTGTTAATGTAGTATTGAGGAATTGAACCCAGGGCTTCATGCATGCTAAGCAACTACTCTTACATTAAGCCACATTCCCAGCCTGGTTCTTCCTTTTATTTTGTAGCCTAAGTACTATGTATTTCTGAACTGGATCTGAAGGGACCAGCTGAAGGGGTGCAGAAATCCAATATTCTCTCTCTCTCTCTCTCTCTCTCTCTCTCTCTCTCTCTCTCTCTCTCTCTCTCTTTCTCTCTCTCTCTCTCAACTGGGGCTTGAACTCAGGGTGTGGGCATTGTCCTTGAGATTTTTTTGCTCAAGGCTGTCATTCTTCTACTTGAACCACAGCTCCACATCCACCTTTTTTTTGCCAGATAATTGGAGATAAAAGTCTCACAGACTTTTCTGCTCTGGCTGCTTGGAACAAGGATCCTCAGATCTCAGCTTCCTCAGTAGCTAGGATTACAGGTGTGAGCCACCAGTACCTGGTTTTTTTTGTATCCTCTTGATAGTTTACATAGGCAAATCCTCTCTTGTTATTGCTGTTCAAGGGCTGGTGATGATAGTAGAGGAATATGTACAAGGGAAAGTAACCTTTCTTGGCCATAGTCCCTCTTCTGTAGATAGCTGTTCTTTATTTACAGTTGATGTGCACATTTTTGTGCACATGCATGTAAATACACACCTTATTTTTAAAATACCATAAAGTAAACATGCTTCTTGAACCTTGCTTCCTCCTCCCCACACTGAGACTCCAACCTCTATACTATAGGCTTGAACTGTCCTTGCTAGGCAGGCATTCTACTACTTGAGCCACGTTACTAGACTGAATCTTGCCTTTCAAAACTTGACATTTTTCACATCATTCTATATCAACACATATTAAGGTAAATTTGACTTCAGTTCTTTTGAGGACACCTGATGGATTTTTGGCTGTAACGCTTTTAAAATGTCATCCATGGGTGTCAATGCCTTTATAAATTTATACCAAAGCCTTCTGATGCCAGCTGCATTTTGCAGTGGTTCTTTTTTACCATGAACTTTACCAGCTCTTTTTTTTTTTTTTAATGCTGTCACATGTGTTTATTTTTATTTCAGTTCATCTATTCATTCATTCATTTTTGGTACTGGTACTGGGGCTTGCATAGAGGGCCTCGTGGGCTGTACTCTTTGAGTCAAGCCTGTAGTCCATGCTGGCTCACTTTTATTTCCTTTTGTTTTTCTTCTTCACTGAGGCCTTTATCTGTTCTTTCAGATCTTCATTCAGAGATGTTGCATTTTTATTAGTATGTCTAACATTTTTTTCTGCTTAGGGGTATCATTTTTCAGGCCTCTCTATATTTTTGATTCTACTTAGTGAATTTTCTTTCCCTCTTCCTGTGTAGGGCTTTTGCATAGATCCCTTGTAGTCTTCTTCAGGTGATTGTTCAACTTCAGAAGGGGCTATTCTTCCTCAGATAGCTGTTTACTGATCCATAACACACACTGTTGTGGGGATGGGGGCTTGAGTTTAAGTCACTCAAGTCTCTCTCACAGGATTTCTGGATCTTGGCTCTGCTTTCTGAGATTTTTTTTTCTTTCTAATGCTCTGCTCTAAGGCCCACACAGTCTGTTCAGTAGTGAAGCAAAAACCATAACTCTTCCTGTTATGATCTAGTGTTTATGATGCTTCAGTTGACTTAGATCAGCAATCCCCAAAGTAGCTAGTGGTTAAGAATTCAGATTCATCACAAAGGTGCAATATCTATGTACATCTGATCATATAAAATCATATTTATCTAAATGAACTCCAGGAAATGGAAACGAGAGGCTTTTTCCTTGTTGTTGTTTCTGTTTTCTATTTGTCTTGTTTGTTCATTTATCAATCTTTGGGAAGTTAAGAGAGTACAGCAGTGGAAGGACAAAGAGTGAAAAATGCAGTAGAGCTACTAGACACTATGTGGGAGATGAACTATACAACTTGAGGGTGGGGACAGAAGGGGAAAACTGGGAAAGAGCAAGGGAATGGAATGATATTGTCCAAAAAGGAATATACTCTGCCTGACTTACGTAATTGTAACCCTTTTGTTCATCACCTTTATAATAACAATAAAAATTAAATTTAAAAAAGTTCAGGTGCAGGATTAACATGGTTAAAATTTTGGCCATCCTGTTTATGAGTTATATGACTTGGAGCAATTTTGCTTCTTTGTATCATGGTTTCTTTTTGGTAAAATGGAGAGAAAAATGTCTTGCCTCTTTGGGTTAATTTGAGGATTAAATGAACTAAGCCCTTTCAATCACTTAAATGTCATCTGGCACAATGTTACCATGTAGATGATAGTCACTTTTGAATCTGAGCTGGTCCCTTTTCTTTCAGCTTTTTACTGGTTAATTGGAAATAAGTTTCATGGATTTTCTGGTTGGTCCGGCTTTGATTCTCAAGTCTCAGCCTCCTCAGTAGCTAGGATTATAGGCATGAGCCACCAAGTGTTCAAGAGGGAAGGTATTTTAAAGGAAATGACTTCTAAGCAGGTCTTTGAAGGCTTTTGTTATAGGCAAGGTATATAGTACTCTAGCTTTTATTTTCTTTTATTTTTACATTGAGGGAAAGAAAGTGACACCCATAATATCTGAAAGTGTGGAGGGACTTATGACTGTAATTAGTGAAAGGAAAGCAGAGACCACTTCCTGTGGAGAGGAATTTATCTCTCCTACCGCCCATGGCCCCTGATCTCCCTCCAGAGCGGGGGGGGGGGGGGGGGGGGGATTGGCAGTGAGAGGATGTAGCCACAGATGCTGTGGAAGCAGGAGGAAACAGTTGGGCATCGGAACTCACAACAGAGTGCTCCTGAAGGGCCCGGGAGAACGGAATGAGCAGTGATTTGTAGAGGAACCAGACCATGAAGGAGCCCAGGGAACTGGGATTAGGCAATTTCCCCACCTAGATATTTTCTCTGTATTTAATAAATCAGAGGCAGAGTCCTAGTGTGTATTGCCAATAATCACACATTCCAGGCCTGGCCCTTCAGGGCTTGCAAAGAGAGGAGCATCTCCTCACTCTGGGCAAGGTCACGCTACATTAAAAGCATGAACATGTGGCTTTCCAGGAAAACCTCCAGTGGAAGATGGCAAAAGCCCAGATGCAAAAATGTAAATGGAGTTTTGCCCTGGAAGGGATCTTTAAACTGGGCAAAGCCCAGGGCTTCCTGGTATCCCTCAGGTTTCAGGTAGAAAAACATTTCTTATAATCAAACATTCTGACGTCCGAACCCATGGAGCCTGGGGCCAATGCCACTGCTTCCAGTCATGTTTATCACTCTTGGTTTCTCTCCCTCATTTATATATTTCCCTGCCCCTCCCCACTTATTATGCTCTCAATTTTTTTTGTACTGGTCCTAGAGCATAAACTCAGGGCCTGGGTGCTGTCCCTGAGGGGTTTTTGTTGTTGTTGTTTGCAAAGCTGATGCTCAACAGCTTGAGCCATAGCTCCACTTTAAGAGTCTCATGGACTTTCCTGCCTGGGCTGGATTTGAATTGTGATCATCAGATCTCAGCCACCTGAGTAGCTATGATTACTTGTGTGAACCACTGTTGCCTGACTTATACTCTGAAAATTTTCCCTGTGTACTTAACAGGTAAAAGGACATTTGAAAAGACACAGCTGAGGTCTTTGGACTGAAGATCTGTTTATATTCCTGGTTCCTAAAGTGGAGTATTCCCCGGCAGCATGTAACTGCAAGGCTGACCATAAGCAGACAGGGAAGGCTGCTGCGAAGCTAGAGACAAATGATTAATTCAAGAAGTTTTGCTCACTGTGGTAGCCATGCTAAGGGGTTTGGAAGGCAACTACTTCATAAGAATTTAGGGTTTCAGGCTGGGAAGTTGGCTTAGTGGTAGAGCGCTTGCCTTGCATGCCTGATGCCCTGGGTTTGCTTCCTCAGAACCACATAAGCAAAAAGAAAAAAGCCGGAAGTGGCGCTGTGGCTCAAGTGGTAGAGCGCTAGCCTTGAGCTGAAGAGCTGAGGGACAGCGCCCAGGCCCAGAGTTCAGGCCCCATGACCGGACCCAAAAAAAATAAATAAAAGAATTTGGGGTTTCACTTTTTGCCTATGACAACTTGAACTGTAATCTTCCTATTTACTCTTACCATTGTTAGAATGAAACACATGTATCATCACATTCTGTTTTTTTTGTCTTTTTTTGGGCAGTTGTGGGGCCTGAACTCTGGGCCTGGGCGCTGTCCCTCAGCTCTTCAGCTCAAGGCTAGCACTCTACCACTTGAGCCACAGCGCCACTTCCGGCTTTTTTTCATTTTGCTTATGTGTTGCTGAGGAATCGAACCCAGGGCCTCATACATGCAAGGCAAGCGCTCTACCACTGAGCCACCTTCCCAGCCCCCACACTCCATTTTTTTTTTTGTTCTTGTTATGGGGTTTCATGATGTTTTTGTTTGTTTGTTTGTTCGGCCCAGGCTGGCCTAAAACCATGATTTCCCTTAATCTCAACCTCTCACATCGCTAAGATGACAGATGCTTGCTACCATGCTCAGCTATTGGTTGATATGGTGTCTCCAGCTCAAGTTTTAAAATGTGTCAAGGCAGCTCATGGTTCAGAGGATTTTGATGTGTATTTTTTAATGTGTTCTCAATTTTCTGTTGTTTATTTGGAAGTTATTCAAGCTTTGTGTTACTGTTCTGCCTTGCCTCTTCATCTACATACCTCTTCATCTTTCTCCCCACTAAATGTCTACCCTGGGCTCTTGTGTGCTTTGGTGCCATCTGCCTGCAGAGCACCTGGACCCAACCCTTCTCTCCTCCTACTCACAGAGGACTTTCAACATTCTGACCCAGAAAGCATCTCTGGATGTGTTTCTGCCCGATGGAAGGAGCATGAAAGTAGATATTCTAACATCAGATACTGCCGAAAGAGTCCTAGAGGTAAACTTTGTTTAATCTCATTCCAGAACTTCATGGAGAGAAAAAATAGTTCTGCTTCAAAAGCAAGGACTGGGGCAGGGCACCAGTGGCTCACGCCTGTAATCTTAGCTACTCAGGAGGCTGAGATCTGAGGATCACGGTTCAGAGCCAGCCTGGGCAGGAAAGTCTGTGAGACTTTTATCTCCAATAAACCACCAGAAGTTCAGAAGTGGCGCTGTGGCTCAAGTGGTGGAGTACTCGCCTTGAGCTGAAGAGCTCAGGGACAGCGCCCAGGCCCAGAGTTCAAGCCCCACGAACAACAAAAACAAAAACAAACAAACAGGGACTGAGGTATGGTGAGCCTTGGGAGCCTTCCTGGATTTGGTTTTTATTCTGTGTGTCTCATCTGTGGTAAGTGCTGGGGTCCCCTGGGAGGCTGAGCAAGGCACCTGGATGACAGCCCTTCTTCTAGGACCTGATTTTACCCTCCCAATGGACATCACTCACCTTTTCCTAGAACCTAGCCAGGATATAGTCTGTAAATGTCCAGAAGGCTTTGTTACAAAACATTCCATATATATATATATATATATATCCCATATATGAGAAAGGAAGGAAGCAGTTCCTGGCTGAGTCTAGAATAAGCCATACCCAGTGGATGATGATAGGGCCTGGCAGTCTTTGGAAGGCTCTCTCTCCTCACACAGGAATTCCCTGAAACCAGTACCTTATCAGGTCTAATTCTGGGCACAAAGAGCCAAACCTGATTTTGAGTCATTTTGAGGATGACAAAGGTGTTAGATGTGACTGTCACCAGTCACTTTTCCCCTTCTGCTCAGCTGGGCTACAGAGAGAATATTGTCTTCTCACACTGATATGTGCTCTGGGGGCTCACTTCCCAGACTCTTTTTCCCTGGGAAGATTTTAGTTCCATTCCTCAGAGAAACATACAAGGGCGCATAGAAAGCTACAAACATCAGCTTGTGTTCTGGGGATGGCTTCTGACCTCTGTGAGCTACCTGCTGGACTCTTTGCTCTCAGGCCTGCTTTTATGTGAGATGCTGCCTTAGGCTTTTCTTCCCAACTTAGAGGTCCAAGCCGTCTAGGCCCTTGACCTCAGTAGAGTAGCCCAGCTCTGGATTAAAATGATTATGTTGGAACTTTTTTTCCCCTGAAAATCATTGTGTACTTCTACCATACCCCCTGATCTTTCCTTTTTCTTTTTTTCCTTTTGTATTCTCAGTGTGGATGAATGGACGCAGAAGCACTTAGATGCTTCTCCTTGCTGAGGCCACCCATGGAGGATTCTTCCTAGGCTCCTCCTCCACCCCAAGGCCTGCTGATCCTATCCCCAAACCTTTCTCAAACCAATCACCTTCTCTGTCACTATGCCTCCATCCTGAATGAGTAGAGGATGGCTAATATCCTGCAGAGATGAGAGATAGCAAAATGATCCAGGGCCTGTGTCCATATCCAGCAGCCTCACTGGAGGCCAGTCTAATTGGAGGCCAGATGACAGAAAACTGTCCCTTGAGGTGAGGTGAGACTGGTTTTTGTTTTGTTTTGTTTTGTCAATTGTGGGTCTTGAACTCTGGGCCTGGGCGCTGTCCCCGAGGTCTTCAGCTCAAGGCGAGCATTCTACCACTTGAGCCATAGCACCATTTCTGGTTTTTCTGGTGGTTAATTGGAGATAAGAGTTGCACAGACTTTCCTGCCTGGGCTGGCTTTGAACTATGATCCTCAGATTTCATCCTCCTGAGTAGCTAGGATTACAGGCATGAGCCACTAGCTCCCAGCTCTTTTCTTTATTTAAAAAAATATTGCTAAGGTTGTTTTTTTTTTCCCAGAATGAATTCCAAACTTCTTTGAATGTCCACTGGCCTGTCAGAGCACTTCCTATTAAAGGATATTGGTCATTTCCAGTTCTGCATGTCACAGATGGGAGGCTCAGTTGTTATCCTAATCTTTGTCCTTGGCTTGTCTTTTCCTAAAGGTGGTGTCTCATAGACTGGGACTGTGTCGGGAGCTGATAGGTTACTTTGGACTCTTTCTCCTTCAGTTTTGCAAGAATGGCAAGCTATCTGGTAAGAAGGAAAGAGATCAACCAGGAGGTGGGGAAGGCAAGGGCTCATCCCAGATGTGGGAGGCATTGCTGAGGGGGCCAGTCAGCCTATCACCAGGTTGTAGTCCCTACTGCAGTTCTTGACTCTGGATTGAATATTGTAAATGGGAGGTTGTATCAGGATGAGTGGTGACAAGCAGCCGCAGAGAAGTAGCAAGGTCAGGAGCAGGATCCCAGGTCCGCCCACCGACTCTCCTCCCTCTGTGCTTACCTGCACAGTCCTAGTATCCTCTCACTTTTACCCCTCACTTCCAACCCCCAACCACTGGCTATGCACAGCTTTCTGGTGCCTAGAGTGCTATCAGGACATCCCCTTACCATACAATGTCTCCTAGTCAGAGAGTACTTGTGATAAAATGTGAATGTTACAAAAATTTTTAGATTCTTTTTAAAAACTAATTTATTGTTGGTGTGGAGGTGATGTACGTAGTGATTACAATTACATGAGTCAGGTAATGAGCACCTTTCCTTTCAGAGAGTGTCTTCTGTTCCTTCATTCTCTCCCAATCCCTCTCTCCCATCTCCATCCAGGAGTTGTATAGTTCACTTTCATCAATGTCCAGTGAGCTCTGTTACCAAACCTTTCCCACCCTTTTTCGCTCAAGTTCTATACCCTTCCCACCCCCCCCCCCCCCACCAAACCCTTCTAAAGATATACACTTGAACACACCATACATAAGGTAAAGAAGACAGAATCATCAAAAATGGGAGAAAAAAGTGTTTAGATTCTTGAAAGAGAAAAAGTCTACTGAGATAGGAAAAGGTGGCAGTCTAAGTCCAGGACTGTTGGCTTTCTCTCCACTGCATATTAAGTATCACAGGCTTTTTTTTAGCTGCACAATCCTGTCAGTTATCTCAAAGCAATTTATGCCTTTAAGCAGTAATAGGGAACCTAAAGGTTTTAGGTGTGGATTGGGCCCTACAAGCTGTGGGTGACAGCCACAGCACTGGGAGCTTCTGGACCTATTTATTTCTTCTTTGTTTATTTTCATAGGGTAAGTATTCTACTCAAAGAAAACTTCCTACTTTGATAAGGTTCAAATAATATTTATTTATTTAAATTATTATTTACTTTATTGTTGTTATAAAGGTGAGGTATAGAGGGATTGCAATTACGTGAGTCAGGTAATGAGTGCATTTCCTTTTGTACATTGTCTTCCCTTCCCTCACTCTCTCCTAGTAATATTTTTTTAATGAGCTTCAGGAAGTTAAAAATATATATTGCCAGGCACTAGTGGCTCACATCTGTAATCCTAAACTACTCAGGAGGCTGAGATTGGTATTCATGGTTCAAAGCCAGGCAGGCAGAAATGTTAGTGAGATTTGCATTGTGTGAGACTCACATCTCCAATTAACTTCCAAAAAGCTGGAAGTGGAGGTTTGGTTCAAATGATAGAGCATTTACCTTGAGCAAAGAAGTTCAGAGTTCAGGGACAGGGCTCAGGCCCTGATTTCAAGCCCCAGGGCCAGCACACACAAACACAAAAGTTACACATATGTGCAAGAGAATATTATTTTTCCACTATGAACACCACTTTCTCCTCTAAAAGGTCTGTATGTAAACTACGTATGCATTTCAATCTTTAAGATTGCCTTTTTCCCTTTTCTAGTTGTGAAAAAGTTGGCGGACTTTGAGCTCCCTTACGTTAGTCTTCAGAGTTCTGAAGTGGAAAACTGTAAAGCTGGACTCAGAAAGTGGTGAGTATTTATAGTGACAGAAACCATATCTGGTCGGAAATTGTCAGCATCTCGCCACATGCTGCCCACTGCCTGACAGCTGGCAAGAGACCAGGAACTGGGACAGGTGAAGGGAAAGACAAGGAGGAAGTGAGAGTAGAATGAACCAGAATACTGGTGGTGATGCCCAGGGGGAGGAGGATGACTTTGTTCAGTTCTTCAGTCTCAGGTAATTCCTCAAGAGGTTTTAGAACGAGGATGGTGGCCTTCCATTCTTGGTCTCTCCTCAGAGACAAACAGGAAGGGAAGGCTTTAAAGATAGCCACGCGAGAGTATGGATTGCTGCAAGTGAGGGAAGTTGCTGCCCTCCTGTCTGCTGGATTACTGATGGTATTAATGGACCGGTTTGTGATACTTACAAGCAGATCTGACTCATTTGTTCAACGTTGGCATTCCCTGAAGGCAACCAGTGGAGTCACAATTCACTGAATTGAGATCTTAAGTATTAGGCGTACTTTTCTTTCCAAACTATATGTCCTAGGGTGGTATGTCCCAACACCACCCATGTTCCTAGATTGAAAGTATTGTGTCTTGTCAGAAAATACTATCATTCTTTTGGGAAAAGCAGGTTATGAGGTATAACAAACAAACAGAAAGTTACTCTTAGTACTAGTCCTATAATCTGTGTATCCCAGCATTTATTACTGTGACTGTACTGGATTGGTACTTAAGTCTGGTCTCTCTGAGCTCAGTCATTCTGTTATCTGAGCACAGAAGAACAGAAGAAAGACACTTTGAATCTAGGTGTGGTTGTTAATGCTAGTTGTGATGATCTGCTAGAGCTTCAATTTGCAGTTTTGAGTTTTGTGAGACTAGTACCAGCAAGGCTAGATGTTCAAATACTGTTATTCTGACATATACTAAAAATGGTTAAAGTCTTGCAGCATGGAGCTCTAAGAAGAGGAGAAGGCTCACTTCTAGCTCAGGATTTAGAGAGTAACTGCTTGGAAGCTGCTTGTTATAAGAGTGGCTGAGCATGGTAATCCTTGCCATCAGAGTACATGATTAAAGTCCCAGCTCCCACAGGTTTAACTGCACAACTTAAGTCAAGCTCCTTAAGCCTCAATTTCTTTATCTGTAAAATTGGAATAATAATAATAATGGCTATTATTATTATATCATCTCCCAGGATTGTTGTAAGAGTGAAAGTAATCTCATATATCCAGTAAGATTTGGTCATGTTTGTTATTGCTGTATTTCTGATCTCACAATAATTTAGTAACAATATATATCACTGGGACTTCTCACTCACGTGTAAGATAAGACATTTGCACTATTATAAACCAGCACCTCGATCCAGGGAGATTGCCTTTGCTTATGGGACTGTAAGAAAGGAGACCCATTTCTATTGTTGGAGCTGAGGAGGGGGATGGCCTGACACAGCATCCACTGTGCCTCACCCTCTTTCCAGAGGAGGTCTTACCTAGGTGTGAGCTGTGTGATTCCAGCAGGTGAAGCCTCTCAGGAAGGCCTAGCCAGAGTTATTTCCGTCTGTGACTCCAGCATCTCTCCAATGATGACAGAGTTCCTTCCAGACCAGCAGTGCCAGCCCTGATCCCTACAGAGACTCCACAGGGGATGGACTGGGGCTCTCCCAGTCTCTGGTGCAATAGTTGCCGTTTTGTGCCACACAGGGGCAAATAGGTAAATGGAAAGTCAGCAAGCATCCTCCAGTTGCTTCTTCCTCTCCCAGAGTGAAGTTGACATAGCTCCATTTTCATCCTTCTGCAGGTCTCAGCCAGCCCACAGGTCTAGCCACCCTGAGGCTGCAGCTCAGCTGTAGCTCATCCTTCCTGACCTGACTCTTTCAGTCCATTCTCAGCATCCTGTTGTGTTTCCCTGGTGACAGATTTCAGTTCATCCTGAGGATTCTAGATAGGATATGGAACTCCTCCTGTTTGCAAGCCACTTTTCTGAGACCCAAAGAGACCTGTCTGAACAGGGAATGGGGGAACTTCACATCTTGAGTGAAACAAGTTTGGTCAGAGAAGTGATCAGCCTTTACTCAGGGTGCTGAGGAAGCCCCCAGGGGGTGGTTTGCTAACACAGCACTGGGCAGCAGGGACCAGCAGAGGGGCCCCTGGGAGGAAGAAGGGATACGTTAGGGAAGGAGGAGGAGAGGAGAGAAAGCATGATTAGATTATAAGTTGGGTATGGGAATGGTAGGAAATGAATTGGAAATAAATGTGTGGGTATCCCATGAAGGGTCTAGGAAGTGAGAAGGAAGTATGATCCAACTTCTGCTATTTTGAAAGCTGGAAAGTTTGCTCAGGAAAGATCATCCTGGGTGGAATGTAGTGTGGGAGGCTGAAAACCTAGGGAGAAGTTGCCGGGGAGGTGAGAGCGGAGAGCAGCCAGGTGCTGAGTGGTGAAGATGAATGTGGTTATAAGGGGCAGATGACCATACCAGATGCTATGGGGTGGGAAAAAGGAACTCAGGACTTGGTGGTCAACGTGGAAGCTGAGGATGTACAAGAATTCCTAGAGCTGTATTTTATTTACATCTTTACCCTCAGAGTCCATTCAGTAATAGAAAATAGGGAGTCGAAGAGATGGAGAAAGAAACTGAAGTCTAGGCAAGTATAGTGTGTGGACTGTGAGAGAAGGGGGCCCTGGCTCCTAGGATGGAGGACTACACTCCCACATATGCTGCCAGCCAAGCCACATGAGCTCATAGAATGCCCCTGCATTGTACAGGTACCTGGATCCAGCCCTCGACTCCATGCTGATGGACTGCAGAGCAGCAGTAGATTTGCTGTATATGCAGGTGAGAATGCCATTACCATAGCCCACTGGGATTAGAATGGTTAAAAATGTATAATTATTAGGACTAGGTGGAGTGAGTCACGACTCTGATCCTAGCCACTGGGGAGTGTGGGTAGGAGGATCATGGCTCCTGATGCCCCTCCCCCTTCACAAACAATAACTAAAGCAAAATGGGCTAAAGGCATGGCTCAAGTGGTAAAACACAAGGCCATGAGTTCAATCGCCAGGACTACCAAAATCAGAAAAAAATTATAGTAGTTAAACATTCAACATCACTAAAGCTAGCACTATACTACTTTGAGCCACAGCATCACTTCTGGTTTTCTGGTGGTTAATTGGAGATGAGAGTTTCATGGCTTTTTCCTGCCCCAAGCTGGCTTTGAACCATGATTTTCAGATCTCAGCCTCCTGAGTAGATAGGATTATAGGCATAAGGCACCAGTGTCTAGCTTACTTCTAGATATTCTTATTTACATTTCATTTTTTTTTGTTTTGTTTTTGGGTCCGGGCACAGGGCCTGAACTCTGGGCTGGGCGCTGTCCCTCAGCTCTTCAGCTCAAGGCTAGCACTCTACCACTTGAGCCACAGTGCCACTTCTGGCTTTTTTCTTATGTGGTGCTGAGGAATCGAACACAGGGCCTCGAGCATGCAAGGCAAGTGCTCTACCACTGAGCCACCTTCCCAGCCTCATCTTATTTACATTTCAAACTGCATGATATCCTTGTCCCAAGGTCCTTTCATGCCCAATGTCAACCTTGAAGCTTCTAGTAGCAACTGATTCATCCCTGGGCCTTTTGCACATTTCATTGACCACTAGTCAGAAACCACGTGTCCTCTGGTTCCTTGGCCTTTCATTTCTCATGTCCAGGAGAGAACGCCTATAACATTGGTACCCAATTAGACAGACATCCTAGGGCACTACAGAATGTAGTCTGTTCTATAGTAACAACAATCACCACATCCAAGGCAAGGGGCCATACTGAAAAAAAGTTTGTGGGCTGCCTTACAGCCCTCGGTGTATTCATGAGCTCAGCACAGTACTGGGAATCTCTCTGTATGTAGACTGCTCTCTGGCCATTGTAGGTCTCCAGAGGCACAGGATACAGCTCATGGCATAAGTGGCTTATACCGGCAATGAGGTTCTTCATGAAGGGTGGTCATGGAGACGTGGTTCCCACAGAAACATAGCAAGCTTGGAGCAGTGGCCCAGGGCAGGCAGAGTGGCAGTGAAATTGTCATTGGTCATTCTGCAGTCCTCCAAGTTTGAATCTTCAAGTGGCTGCAATTTGTTCAAGTAGAACTCCCAAGTCCCTGGGATATACATAGGTGAGGCTGACACTTCTCAGATTCAGGTATTTTAGCTGCAGATTCAGGTATTTTAGCTGCAGATTCAGGTATTTTAGCTGCAGATTCAGGTATTTTAGCTGGCTCATCCTCAAGTTCCTGAACAGACAAACTCTAATTCTAGAAGTTTGAAATGGGTTATTGACAAGACCTTCAAGGAGATCTTCAGGCACCTGAGCAACTCATGCAGACGGCCCTCAAGGAAAGAGGCATTATGTATAGAAGATACTGCTGGAGCCATTGCAGATTGCTGAACTGCAAGATAAATGTCTTCAGAAACTCTTTTTGCTGCTCTGGGCTAATCCTTCTGGGTAGTATATCAAGCCCATCCAGGGTACTTTTTAGGGTCTCCAGTTCAAAAGTCTTCATCAGTGGCCCCAAGGGGAGGCATGGGGAGGGTCAGGCCTGCACTATGGTCTTCAGCATCTCTGGGCATCTCCTTTTGAAGGCGTCCAAGAACAACAGAGGAAAGAGCTCCACGGACAGGTCCTCCAGAGAAGAGATGGCCAGGCCTAGTTCTCCAGTGGGCTCTGAGCTCCCAGCTGCATGAGTGTGGGTGGGGTTTGATCTCTCATCTTGATGGACCAGATGTGGACCAGGTATGCTAGGCTCTCTGAATCCCACCAGGACAGGCAGTACTAACTCCATGCTCTTGGATTTTCCTTCTCTCCTTTGGTGTCTCTGAAGAGGTTATTTTCTTTTTTTCTGAACAGATTTTCCCCAGACGTTATTACTTCTGTTGCTTACCTTGATTCAGAACCATCTTGATGAGCCTTCTAGGGGTGGCTGTCCTTCAGTGATTTCTGCCTTTGAGCTCAACAGTGTTCAGCAGAAACTGGAGACTCGATCAGGAAACAGCTGGGGAACTCGTTAGAAATGTGGACTGTGAAAATACTTGCTGATGGCAGTGACCCAAAACTGAGCACACAGGGCCCATATATATTTAACTGAATTTTTTGGTGGTACTGATATTTGAATTCAGTTTCACACTTACTAGGCATGTGTTGTATTACCTGATCCATGTTACCTAGTCTTTTTGCTTTCCTTCATTTTTTTTTGTTTGTTTGTTTGTTTTAGCCGGTCATGGGGCCTGAACTCTGGGCCTGGGCACTGTCCCTCAGCTCTTTAGCTCAAGGCTAGTGCTCTAGCACTCGAGTCATAGCGCCATTTCTGGCTTTTTCTGCTTATGTGGTGCTGAGGAATCGAACCCAGGGCCTCAGGCATGCAAGGCAAGCGCTCTACCACTGAGCCACCTTCCCAGCCCGCTTTCCTTCATTTTTTAGATAGGATTTTGAACCCTCTTCCTCAAGGCTGGCCTCTGGTCAGCCTCCCACAAAGCTGAGATTACACATGTATCTCACTGCACTCTAACTGAGTATGTTTTAGTCCTTGCCAATGCAAGAGACAGAAATTCCTTTGCATTCTAGTGAGGTTGAATATGTATTTGTCCTTTGGAATTCCTTTTGGTCAATTACCAATACTCATCTTTTACCCATTTTCCTGTTAGGGATGATTATGTTTTTCTTATTGCTGTGTATAAACATTAACTTTCGGTCATATATGGTCCAGACATAAATGTACAGAAATTTTATAAATAGAAAGTTGTATTTTTTGTGGTTTTGATTTTGAACAAAAGGCAATCAAAGTTTAGAGGATTCTTTCTTTTTTTCTTGCCTGTCCTGGGACTTGAACTCAGGGCCTGGGTGCTGTCCCTGAGCTGCTTTTGCTCAAGGTTAATAATGCTCTACTGCTTGAGCCACAGTGCCACTTCTGTCTTTTTCTGTTTATGTGGTGTGGAGGAATTGAACTCAGGGCCTCATGCATGCAAGGCAAATACTCTATCACGGAGCCACCTTCCCAGTCCTAGAGGATTCATTTTTATATTTAGGTTGACAAAGAAAGTAATTCTTCAATTCAAGATTTTGATTGATGGACTGTTTTGTTTAAAAAATGTTACTATAAAAGTTATATACAGAGGGGTTACAGTTACACAAGTCAGGTAAAGAGTACCTTTCTTTTTGGATGTCACTCCTTCCCTTGCTCATATTTATATTTTCATGTAGTTAAAGGAATATGTTTACTGAAGAAATATAATTATTCCTTCATTTTGTCATTATATTTTATTTTATTTTTATTTATTTATTTATTTATTTTTGGGTCCAGTCGTGGGACCTGAAGTCTAGGCCTGGGCCTTGAGCTCTTCAGCTCAAGGCTAGCGCTCTACCACTTGAGCCAGAGCGCCACTTCCGGCTTTTTTCTTTTTGCTTATGTGGTGCTGAGGAATCGAACCCAGGGCCTCATGCATGCAAGGCAAGCACTCTACCACTGAGCCACCTTCCCAGCCCTGTCACACACACACACACACACACACACACACAAAGTAACCTTCAGCTAGGAGTGGGAGGACATAACCTGTAATCCAGAACTCAGGAGGCTCACACCATAAAATGTATATTTTTGACCAGCTTCAACTACATAATGACAACCTTTCTCAAACAAACAAACAAATAAATGCCAAAACAAAAAAGGTGACTAATCTTTTTAGCATCCTAAATGTATACAGATCCACTTGACTGTTTTTTAGCCCTTTGTACATGAGTGTGCTTTTCTCAAGAGTAATGCGCATCTGCTAAGGTTGCTAACTGCACAACTGATGCTGTTTTAAGGCTGTGCAAGACATTAAAACAGAATGGGCCAAACCCACACCAGCCCAGAGGGAGGAATTAGAGGCTCTCCTAAAGGAAGACAATCAAACAAAGGTGAGTCAAAAATGGTACCAAGAGATGTTCTTTGGAAGGAAGTTCAAGAAACAGATTAGAATTGAACTATTTCTATAATTTATAAACCTACCCACTACCAAAAGTGAAGCTTGCTTTAAAAGTGAGAATACCTTCATTGATTTTTCTGAATCTAGAATTAATAAAAGGTTATTATTGAAAGATTTTTAAAAAAAATAGTATATTGTGAGTCCTTTGCCAAGTCAATTAATATAGATCCTTCACATCATTTTTAATGACTCCAGAGTATTCACTATTAAGGATGTTATCATTTAACTAGCTGATTTCCTATCATTGTAGGTTAGGTTTCTTCTAGCTTTTGCTGCTATAAATCATTTTGGCAGTGAGAGGCATGAGGCCCAGGCCTGTTTCTAGTTTATACTTTCTGTATTCTTGGCACCTACTATAGGAGCTGGTGGAGCTCCCAGAGCACTAAGGCCTCTCTAAGTGTTATGTTAGGATATGTTTCAAAGTGTTCATTGTTAAAGGAGATGTCTATGGAGCCACACATCTCCTGCTCCCAAGTGACCATGGGAGTCTGGCAGACAAGACATCCACACAGCAGATACAGCCTCTAATTAATTGGGTTGTACTTTTTCATTCTTCAGACTTTACCAGTGTTTGCAACACAACACTGGTTTTGAGCAAAATGTAATAACAATTTAGAGGTTCATTCATACTTAGGATGATACAGTAGTTCTTCAAAGGCTTAGATCTTTGAAATTTTTATTGACAGACTGCAGAGAGAGAGATCAAGAAGATAAGAGAACAACACCTAGAGCTATGACTTAGTGTCTTCCCCCTTGTTATACTGTACCTTAGCTTTGTCCTAGAAATTTTGGGGTTCAATTTCTATGTGTTTGTAAATTTAGGTGTGTATGTATGTATGTATGTAGAGAGGCTTGACCTTAGGGCCTCTTGATTAGCTTCTTTGCTCTTGCTTGGCACTCTACCACTTGAGTCACACCTCTAGTCTAGCATTTTGCTGGTTAATTGGAGTGGAGGTCTCACGGACAAGGCTAGCTTAAAACCACAGTCATCTGAATATCAGCCTTCTCTATAGCTAGGCACCTGGGTTTGTTTATAAATTTTGATAAATACAGATTCCATTTTTATAGATAGACTAGAGTTGCCACCTTGGGTACCAAAACAGGTAGTGTCGATCACACCAAATCTATGTGTATACATGATCTAACTTCTTAATTTAGTAAGAATATTGCTCTCAATTCATTGTCATTTCCAAAGTCTGTCTGACCATTAATGCCCCCAATTCTATAAAGCATTCTAAAAAACTCCTTTTCTTCTGTGTGTTCTATGAGAATGACATTAGCATATCACCTGAGTTTTTCAGCTGCATCATGTGATCTTTTGCTTCTTCCTACCACCCATTATGGCAGTTTTTAGAGCTGTCCCAGGATGTCCAGCATTATGGATGCATGCAACTGGATCCTTGTACCTGTGACTCTCCAGAACCTGGCTGTGGGGTGGTCCTTTCTGTTGGTAATAACGCCATCAGCTGCTGCATAACCCTGCCTGACAACCAGACCCAGGAAGTCCTTTTCCAGATGAGCAGGGTGAAGTGCTGGCAGGTCACTTTCCTGGTGAGTACCTGATACCTTGCTTTGCCCATGGTTTGAAAATCCTGTTTTTGGATTGACAAGAGTCAGCCAGGGAGAAAAGTTTCCCATTTGATGAGCACTGCTAATGGAGAGTGGTAAATATCACAGGTGCTAAAGCCAGGTGATTGTCCAGTCAGGTTATTGTCCATCCAGAGCAAGAGAGATACTCATCTTCTCACCTTCCAAGAGCTGCTTCCCTATTGCTTTAAGTGAGGTCAGAGTAGTCCCTGTTCATGGTGATCAGGGCTGCCATTGACTGAGTACTTAGTATATGCTTTTAGTGCTTCCCAGACCTGTACACTGAAGATCGGCCCTACTGGAGGAGCCCCTGCCTGGGGCTCACATTGCCATCTTCTTTCTTTGTGTGTTTGTGTGCTGGTCCAACATTAGCGTTCTACCACTTGCACCACAGCTCCACTTCCAGCTTTCTTGGTAGTTAATTGGAGAGAGTCTGCTTAGGCTGGCTTCAGATCTCAACCTCCTGAGTAGCAAGGATTACAGGTGTGAGCCACCAGTGCCCAGCAACACGGCCATCTTCTTACAAGACATCCATGGGCTCTCACACCAGCTTGTGCTTCTTCCTCCTAAATCGTCTCTCTTGGCAAAGGGGACTTCCATCAACTCCCACTGAAGGACATGGGATTGTCAGTTCTCAGCTGTGAATGTGACTCCTATGAATATTCGTGGTCTGGCTTTTGTCTGAGCACAAGTCTTCACTGCAATAAATGCCCAGGAGTGTAATTGCTGGATCATAAGGCAATTGTAGTTTAGGTTTTTCAGTAATTGCTTAACTTAGCTGGGCATTGGTGGCACATGCCTATAATGTAAGCAACTCAGAGGCTGAGTCCCAGCAGAAAAGCCTACAAGACTCCACTCCAATTAACCCACAAAATACTGGACTGGAGGCCTGGCTTAATTGGTAGAGAATCAGTTCTGAGAAATAAATCTGTGTGAGAGCATGGGGTCTGAGTTCAAGCCCTGCTACTGGCAGAGAAGAAGAGAGGAAATGAGAGGAGAGGAGAGAAGCATGGAGGAGAGGAGAGAGAATGAAGAAACAAAGGAGAAAAAGAAAAGAAGGAAGGAAGGAAGGGAGGGAGGAAAGGAGGGAGGGAGGGAGGAAGGGAGGGAAGGAGGGAGGGAAGGAAGAAAGGAAGGATGAAAGAAAGAAATTGCAAAATTTTACCAACTTGAGTTTTTACCACTGAGTTTTGAGAATTCTTTGTATATTCCAGATGTGCGTCTTTATTGGCTGCTGAATTTGCAAATATTTTCTTTCTCTCTTTTTCTTTTTCCCTCTCTTTCTCTGTCTGTCTGTTTCTCTCTCACTCCTCCCTTTCTTTTTCTATGTCTCTAGTTTTCCACAGTATCTTTTCAGGGTGATAATGTTTAATTTTAATGAGGTCTGCTTTAGCAGTTCCTTTCTTTTGTGCATTGTACATTACATGTGATGTCCAAGGACAGTATATCAAAGCCTAGAGCAGAAGGTTTTCCTACTGCCTTATTTTTGCCCTAAAATTTATGATCCGTTTTGAGTGAATTTCTTGTTTAGGGTACAAAACTGAAGGTCAAATTCCCTTCATTATCTCTGGGAGTCCAGCACAGCTGTGTACCACTGCCCACGCGGCCCCACTTGCACAGCTCCCCGCCGTTCAACCAGAGGTTTGAGAGCTCTCTGGAGCTCAGAGTTGTCTGCTCACAAATTCCAGTCTCTACTTCAGACTTTTATTTCTTTTTCCTTGGTTTCACGGGGTGCCTGAGCTCTGTTTGGGTTTTCTCCTCAGTGCCACTTCCTGAAACACCCGTCCTCATGGGCTAATTGGGGGTCACTGTGGTCTATAGGGCATTTGTTTTTCTTCTGATATTCGCTGATCTTCTCTCAGCTATTGTCTGGTTTATTTTTATACCCATGCTCTCAGACAAAGAGTTCTAGAATATGACTCTGATTATTATCTAGTTAAAAAAAATTCTCTTCATGAATGTCCATTGACTGCAGGAAACAATCTAGAATCTTGACCTTAGCTTCTGAGCCATTGTAAAAGTTGGGGCCCTTCGGTGGCAAGCAGTGGAAGAGAATACATGTGATTTGTGACAAAGGGACTGATTGGAGGACTAGGAGTAGCTGACACAGAGTGACTGACATAACAAAGTCAGGCACCAGCCATTGAAGGCTTCAAGAGAAAGGGTTGGGAGGCCCTGCTCTGGGTCTCTCAACTCTGGTATCAAATGAGAGGCACAGAGAATATTTGTCTAGTTGGCCTAAGCTTGGATCACATGTCTTTTACTCCGTGCAAGTCCTACATGCAGTTTACTGTGGAAGAGGAATGGCTTCCCAAGGGAATTTGAGATTACATTAGTAGCAGTGAGATCAGGAGAGAGCCTATAGAGAACTATCACAGGTGATTCTTAGCCATCTTTAGGACTGGTCCCATCCTGCCTGTCTGTGCTTCCTCTTTCAGCCCCCCATGACTTGTAGGGAGTGCTGAGGCCACACCCCACAGTGTCTCTGTCAGGCCTCCTCATGCCTCAGTGCATTTGTACCTGCTGTTTTTCCTAGAGGAGTCATCCCACTCATTTCCCTCTACGAGCAGAGCCACTAAAACACGCATGGACAGCTTCTGCTTCTGCTCAGTTGTCCCTCCTTCCAGGAAGCCTTCCTTCCTGCTTCTTACCTGGGTTAGATGCCCTTTTTTGGGGGGGGGGGGTCCGGTCGTGGGGCCTGAACTCTGGGCCTGGGCACTGTCCCTCAGCTCTTCAGCTCAAGGCTAGTACCACTTGAGCCACAGCACCACTTCCGGCTTTTTTCTTTTTGCTTATGTGGTGCTGAGGAATCGAACCCAGGGCCTCAGGCATGCAAGGCAAGTGCTCTATCACCGAGCCACCTTCCCAGCTCGCTAGATGCCCATTCTAATTCCTCCCTTAGACCCCAGAATGCTCCTCTGAGAACACTCCTCAACAGACCTTCTTGGGAACAGGGAGTCTTGCTTGTTTTGACATTATGCCCAGCATATTAGCAGGCATTTCAATTTCCAATGATATCTTTTCCTCTGTAGGGCACTCTGCTGGATATGGATGGGCCTCAGCGAACTCTCAACCAGAACTTAGAGCTCAGATTTCAGTACAGTGAGGACAGTCGCTGGCAGTGGTTTGTTATTTACACCAAGCAGGTGAGTTCTCAAGAGTAGAGCATGAAACTCTGTGTATTCCAGATGCAGTGGTTCACACCTGTAATCCAGCTACACAAGAGGCAGAGACAGGAAGAACATAGGTCAAGGCCAATTCAGGCAAAAAACTAATGAGCTTTGAATGGGGTTTGGAGAGATGGGGAGAATGATGAAAAGAATGACACTGATCAAGTTGCATTGTACTAGAAACTGACACTGAGTTAAAAACCTCTTTATACAACTACTTAAAGATAAGAAAGAAAGGGGAAGAAAGAAACAAAGAAGGAAAGAAAGAAGAAATGAGGGAAGGAGGGAGGGAAGAGAGGAGAGAGAGTGATTGAGACAGAAGGAAAAAGAAAGAAGAGAGAGAAAGGAAGGAAGGAAGGAAAGAGAGGAAAGGAAGGAAAGAGAAGGAAGGAAAGAGAAGGCAGGAAGGAAGGGAGGGAGGGAGGAGAGAAAGGAAGGAGGGGAAAAAGAAAGTAGAAAAGAAGGAACAAAGAAAGAGAAAATAAAGAACAAGACAATTGTGGTAGATGTTTGTAATCTCAGCTACTCAGGAAGTAGAGAAAGGAGGATCAAAGTCCAGTGTTGGTCCAGGCAAAAAGCATGAGACACTATCTAAAAAATAAAGCAAAAAGGGCTGGAAGTATAGTTCAATTTTCAGACAATCTGCCTAGAACGTTTGAGATGCTGAACCCAAACCCCAGATCTGTAGTAACTTGGGAAGACAGGGAGATTTTAGCAGTGAAACCAACCTCTCTTTCCCACCCATCTCATCAGAATGCTGAGTGTGGTCCAGTTTTATTACAGTCTTTTAATCTAAACAGTAGCAAATGGGTTTAACCACTACAGAGAGGGGCAATAAACGTTCTTTTAAAGGATTTCTAATAAGACCTTCTTTCCTTTGGAGTGTGTGTTCTCTTGATACGTGCCCAAGGGCTGTTTTTGCAAAAGGCAGAGATATGACCTGTGTGTTTTATAAATACAAATGAGGGCCAGTGGGACCCAAATCTTTTCTCAGCTCTTTAAACAAAAGCTCAGTTCTTTCTATTTAACAAGCCCAACCTGGTTAATAGCAGTCTTAGCCTCCATGTTCTTTTACTTGGTATAGGAAAAAAGCACATTAGTGCAGAACTGTACTGCCTTGCTGCTTCCTGCTCTGGTGGTGTGTGGCTTGCATAACTGTGCAGATGCACAGGGCTAATTGTTAACAATGCCAGGATTGTACATGCCAGCTATGTTACTCTTTTCCCTGTTAGTGACACTGCCTTTTCTATCTCTCCTCCTTTCCTCTTAAATATTTATTTATTTTGTTCCTGTAATGCTATACACCCCTGAAAATGGTGACATGTTACCTTTTGTCCATTGGCTCTCTCATTCTGCCATCTCTGAGGCTACCACCCCAGCCTGTATATCTCGCTTTCCCCTTCATCTTTTTCAACAGACTGATCATCCCTCCTCTCAAGCCTATATGAAGGTCCCGGGGCCTTGTATCAAATTTTAGTAAGTTTAACTGAGGAAACTAGGACCAGAGGCATGGCTCAAGTGCTGGAGTACTTGCTTAGCCAAGCACGAGGCCCATGTTCAAACAAGGTACTTCTAAATGAGGAGAGAGACATCAAGCAAAAGGTAAGAGCAGGGCTGGGAAGGTGGCTCAGTGGTAGAGTGCTTGCCTTGAATGCTTGAGGTCCTGAGTTCGATTCCTCAGCACCACATAAATAGAAAAAGCCAGAAGTAGCACTGTGTCTCAAGGCTCAAATGGTAGAGTGTTAGCCTTGAGCTGAAGAGCTCAGGGACAGCACCCAGGCCGAGTTCAAAACCCATGACTGACCAAAAAATAAAAAAATCGAAAAAAGAAAGAGAATTGCTGGGTAAGAAGTAAAAACAAACAAAAAAAATATCCTAGGGAATCTTAAATTTTGCACATGGGGTACAGATCCCGAGACAGTGAGCTCCCTACTTCTGTGTAACAAAATGTGTGGACTGTTGAGTTCTGGACACTAGCTAGACCAACCAAGCTGCTGTGATGCTGGGGGATGATTAAGATACTGGAAAAGAAGAAAGTGAAGAAATGAAACTGTTTCTAAAATTTCAGTAAAGAATAAGATAATGAGGCATTTTTTTTTTAAAGCAAACAGGTTACTATTTATGACTAATAATGGGGCTTAAAAAATCATGCGATTCAGTGTGGGATTCACCATGATCAGTTGATGTGGTTACCATAATAGGTAGTTATTTGTTGCTCATATAAAATGGTCTGCTTACAAAACCGTAGAAAACTGGATGTAAGCAGGGAAGTTGTGTGTGTGTGTATATGTGTGTGTGTGTGTGTGTGTGTGTGTGAGAGAGAGAGAGAGAGAGAGAGAGAGAGAGAGGAGAGAGAGAGTGAGTTCTGAGACTTGAACTCAGAGCCTAGACCCTGTCCTTGGGTTTTTTTGTTTTTATTTTGCTAAAGGCTAGCACCCTACCACTGGAGCCACAGCTCCACTTCCAGTTTTTTGGTGGTTAATTGGAGATAAAAGTTTCATGTACTTTCCTGCCCAGGTTGGCGTTGAACTGCAATCCTCAGTCAGCCTCCTGATAGCTAGGATTACAGGCATGAGCCACCGGTGCCCAGATGTATTCTGGAGTTTTAAGAGAAAGAAGATTAGTAGTGAGAGTCAGGGCATTTTTTCATCTGTCTTTAGATTTCATTGTAAATACATTCATGTAATTGAGAGAATTTGTTTACTTACTAATTGCATTGTATGCCAGTTTCTGGAAGTTAAAGAAATGTGAGTTCTTAAAAGGATGCTATTAGATTTTAAGCAAAGTGCCAACTCTACTTGGTGGTGTGAGAGGGAAGGTAGGAATGGCAATAGCTTGAGTGTTCTTTCTGGATTTCTTAGGCTTTTCTGCTAAGTAGCTGCTTGAAAAAGATGGTATCAGAGAAGAAGGTAAAACTGGCTGCTGAGAATCCAGAAATGGTAAGTGTCCTCATTTGTATACATTTTCCATTCCAAGTCCCCATTATCAGCCAGCATCTGCACACCAGGCTGTCCCTCAGAAGTCCAGGCCAGCAGGTCTGGCCCTTGGGGAGAACTCCTCTGGTGTTGTATTCAGAATAGCGTGGTGGAGGGACTTCTGTCTTTAGAATGAAAGTGTTTTTCTGAGGAGTACTTATCTTTGGACTACTGAGAACTCTATGACTTTCTTCAGCCTATAGAATTCTACAACGCTTTTTGCTTTTGCTTTTTTTTTTTTTTCAACTTGAACTCAGTGTTTTGGGATCTCACCTGGCTTTTTCTCAAGGCTAGTGCTCTACTACGTACGCCATAGCTCCACTTCCTGCTTTTTGCTGGCTAATGAGTTTTTTGTATTTATCTGCCCTGGTTGGCTCTGAACCTCGATTTTTCTGAGTAGTTCAGATTACAGGCATGAGCCCAGTTGTATACCATCACTCTTTCATTTTTCCTAAATGGGGGTTTCTGGTTAGTCAGAAAAGTGTATCTGAAGTCAAAATCTTGAGGGGCTCTTTAATATAGTGAAGATGATATCAAATAAGCTCCAGAGTTTTCTTCTAGATAGCATTCATAGCCTCTTGATACTTGTGGTGTGCCAAACAGGAAACCATAGAGTAAAAGAAACTTTTAAAGCGATTGTTTTTTGTCGATGTGAATTCTATTTTTGTAGTGTACATTTATGTATCAAAGATGTAACAATGCACCGAAAGGATTGGTGGTCAGACACTAAAGCAGAACTTACTGAGGCTTTCACCCATTCTTAGCCTCTCCTCAGAGCCTACACATATCACAAATATGGCAGGACCATATGTTTGAGTGACATTTGTAAGCTTAATTCTTTTTACAGACTATTACACCAATTTTTAAATCTATAACAAACTATTTGGAAACCTTGTGTAACTTTTTAATGTAAATATAGTGCTTTATAAGAGGATGGGTTAACATTCAGCTTTATTTGACTTTCACATCTTTTTTCCCCTTCTGGAATCAAAAGTATCTTTATAGAGAAAATAAATTCACTGTCTCTTGTGATTAAAAATGGTCTACAGAATAGTCAATGAAGGAGACTATTTCTACACAAGTAATAAAATCCAGCCTCTTAGGCAGGATGGACCCCACTTAGGCTTTGATGATGATCATGTATATAAAAAAGGAAAAAGAGAAAAGTAATTAGCTGAAGTAGCCTCCTTAAAAGGGAGAAGAGCCCTCAACCATGAATGAATCAAATGTAAGCTACTCAATGCAGGAAATACTTGTACGGTGAATAGCTAAAGAGTTCACTCAACAAAACAGAGGAGGCAATAATCCATTTAAAGTTCTCAGGAAAAACAGCAGGAACTGAAATCAACCCTTTATGGCTGTGACTAATGGCAAAATCAAACATACCCATCAATACTCTTGGGTTGCTTTAGCCTAATAGTCAACCTTTATTTCCACAAATGATTTCTTATTTTTGTTCTTAGGACAGAATTTTTCTCTTGAACACTAGGTTTGTAAGAGCAGATTTTAGGGCTAGTTTGCATTTCAGGCTAGAATTTTGTCTACAGAGCCTTGGGGAAAGTAGAGAGGCCGGTGGCCAGCTGAGTTCTGGGCTTCCTCAGAGAGAACGATGGTCTACAGTGACCCCATGGCTTCACATAGTCACATAAATATCAGATGGAGACATCCCATTGCTTTCTTGGCAAAGTCGCAAAGTGTGGACTGGCATCTGTCACTTAGAGAGGCTTTGTATAGACCAAGACAGGGAGGCAGGCTCTAGCCTAGTCTAAGCTTTTCACAGTTTTGAAGAATCTGGGGGCAAGGGGGAGAGCCAGAGGAAACCATAACCAAATGAGCCCCATAAATAAAGTTGATGGTCCCTCGAAGCAGATTAAATAGCACTGGCTTTTCTTATTAAGATGGAGTGAGAGGAAGAAGAAATTTACTGCTCATTTCAAATTAATTGGCCTAGTTAGCTCTAGGCAGTGCTTTCATGGGTAAGACTTGTTTATGAAGATACTATTAGAACTTGAGCTGAACAAACTCAGTAAAAAATAATGTAGGGGCTAGGAATGTGGCTCAGTGGTAGAATGTCTGCCTAGCACACATGAAGCCTTGGGGTCTATTCCTCAGTACCACATAAACAGAAAAAGCCAGAAGTGGTGCTGTGGCTCAGGTGTAGAGCACTAGCCTTAAGCACAGGGAGGCTCAGGAACATAATGTAAAAGCACCATCACCACCACCACAAATCCCATGTTAAATTCTTTTTTTGTGTGCATGCCAGTCCTAGGGCTTGAACTCAGGGTCTGGACACTGTCCCTTAGCTTTTTCACTTAAGGCTGGTACTCTACCACTTGAGTCATAGCTTTACTTTTGGCTTTTTGCTAGTTAATTGGAGATAAGGGTTGTGGGGACTTTTCTGGCAGACTGGTTTCAAACTATGATCCTTAGATTTCAGTCCCCTAAGTAGCTAGGATTACAGGCATGAGCCACCAGTGGTCAGCTCATGTTAAAAAAATTTTTTTTGGGGGGGTCCAGTTGTGGGGCCTGAACTCTGGGTCTGGGTGCTGTCCCTCAGCTCTTCAGCTCAAGGCTAGCACTCTACCACTTGAGTCACAGCACCACTTCTGGATTTTTTTCTTTTTGCTTATGTGGTGCTGAGGAATTGAACCCAGGGCCTCAGGCATGCAAGGCAAGCGCTCTACCACTGAGCCACTTTCCCAGCCCTCATGTTAAATTTTTAAAGGCAATATTAATCACAAACTGGGGGTTGGGGTGGAGTGTAACATTTGTCTTCAGCCCCCCCCCCCCCCCCCTTGTACACAGAGATCCTACAGAATTCCTCCACCCTTCCCTCCCTGCAGTCCCTGGGGCCCTACATCTTTTCATTCATTTGCTTTAATACTACCCTTCCCTCCACCAGACTCAATTTAATTAGGTCTTTAAAAACAAAACAAGGGCTGAGAACAGGTGGCTCATGCCTGTAATCTTAGCTACTCAGGAGGCTGAGATTGAGGATTGAAGCCAGCCCAAACAGGAAAGTCTGTGACTCTCTCTCTCTCCCTCTCTCTCCCCACCTCTCTCTCTCTCTCTCTCTCTCTCTCTCTCTCTCTCTCTCTCTCTCTTTCTCTCTATCTATCTACATATATACATACATACATATGGTTTTAATGTAAAAATATTGTACAGAGGGGTTACAGTTACATGAGTAAGATAATGAGTACATTTCCTATTGAGCATTTGTTTTTCCCCTACCATCCCTTAGCTCCCCACCTCTCCAACTCCTCCCTCCCCATCCCCCTAAGTTGTAAAGTTCGTTTGCAACATAGTGTCTTGTACATCTCATTGTTACAAAGAATCAACCTGTCTCCTTATTTAAGCATTTTATTATTTCCCTTAACCTCCTCAAATTAGAAAAATGTATATACAAGATGCAGGGCACCAGAATCAAATTCAGTGAAAACAGGGACTCATCTCCAATACACCACCAGAAAACTGGAAGTGGCACTATGGCTCAAGTGGTAGAGCGCTCACCTTGAGCTGAAGAGTTAAGAGACAGTGCCCAGGCCCAGATTTCAAGCCCTCGACAAAACAAAAAAATAAACAAATAAATGGAAATGTGGCTTAGTAGTGGAGTGCTTGCCTAGCATACATGAAGCCCTGGGTTCAATTCCTCAATACCACTCAGAAATGGAAATGGCACTGTGGCTCAAGTAGTAGAGTATTAGCCTTGTGCAGATGAAGCTCAGGGACAGTGTGCAGGCCCTTTTAAGCCTCAGGACTGTCAAAAAAAAAAAAAAACACACCCCAAAACCAAAACCAAAACCAAAATCCTCTATATAGAGCCAGACATGATGGTACACACCTGTAACTCCAGCACGTGGGAAGCAGGAAGCTCATGAGTTCAAGGTCAGCTTGGCTACATAGTGAAATTCTGTCTCAAAAGCCAATGGCTGGGATGTGTCTGGACAGTAACATTTCTAATATTCACAAGGCCCTGAGTTCAATTCCCAACACTGCCTCCTCCTCTGTCTCTACAGTGAAACCCCCAAACCTTATCCTCAGTTCCCTCAGAGAATGTGCCATCTGCCTTCTGCCAGGCCCCCTGATGGGTATCTTAAGCACAGTCAAGTGTCTTGAACTTCAATTTGAGTCTTCATTTGATTAATGGAGCCTTTGATTACACAGGCTCCATTTGGCTTTGATTCAGTATATGGATTGGAGCTCTTTGGATTATCTCAGGATTTAGAAGTGCATTTCATTTTGTGCAAAGTCTTTTAAAAGCTGTGGTAAATTGCAAAATCCATAGGTAGCCATGGATGTTAAGCATGAAGTTTCGCTTCACTTTTGGGAGATACAATGTTTCTACACCAAGACTCTGGGCAAAGGAAGTGGGGATGGGCAGATAACACTGGGTACACCTCCTGACCTACAGCAGGAGGAACCATTAAAAGGATTTGTGTGTGTGTGTGTGTGTGTGTGTGTGGCAGGGCAGGTGCTACTTAAATCGGTTATTTGTGTTTGAATATCCAGGCTGTGCGAACTGACATGTTACTAATCTATTTAGCAGATTGAAGTTCCAGAACAAGGCAAAAGTAAAAGACACCAGGTTCAACAAAGCCAGGTCTGTGACTAAAATTACATGGTTGCTATATTCTATTTTTGATAAGTTTACCTTTCTCTCTCTTTAACTAAAACCATTCTCCTTAGGAAAGAAGACAGAATTCTGTTTCCTAGAAGTTTCCTAGAATAGAGAGGCCTCACAGAAGTACAGTTTTTTCCTATAGCATCCAGAATGGGCAAAGGAATTTTCACAGCAGAATTTTCCAAGTGGGACACAAATTCTTTGGTGATTTTCCTCTATGCCTTATGCTTTTTTGGGGGAGGGGAGAGAGGTGGCAGTGCTAGAGTTTGAAATCAAGGATTCATGCTTGCTAGGCAGCCGCTCTATTGTTTGAGCTATGCCTCTAGACTGTTTTGGATCTTGTTGAGATAAGGTTTCAGTTATTATCTGCCCTAGTCTAGACCTTGATCCTCCTACTTGTGCTTCCCACTGTTGCAGGGATGATAGGTGTGTGCCACTTGCAAATCTATAGATGGGACTGGCCTCAAACTATATCCTCCTGATCTCCTGAGTTAGGCTTCAGGTGTGAGCCACTGGGCCCAGCACTTGCATTTAAAAAAAATCCTCTCTCTAGCTTGTAGATTTTAGTATATGTTACATGTTTTAGGTTATATGTAATATGGGCTCCAGGAACCCATACAAAGTGGGGGTGGAAGGGGCAAGACAGGCATAGTGTTACCTGGATGACAACCCTGAGCCAGCATAGGTCCATTCATGATGTCCTCCCATGCCAGCAGGGGCCCTTTTCTAACCCCTAACAGATAGGTACTATTCCTAAATACATTTTCTATAAAGTCATTTTTAAAACCATTGCTTAAATGGATGTAACTTTTCTCTTTTCCTTGGTGTCTGTGTGTGTGTGTGTGTGTGTGTGTGTGTGTGTGTGTGTGTGTGTGCCAGTACTGGGGTTTGAACTCAGGGCCTGTATGCTGTCCTTGAATGTTTTATGGTGAAAGCTAATGCTCTACCACTTGGGCCATAGCTGTGCTTCTGGCTCTTTGGTGGTTAGTTGGAGGTATGAATCTCATGTACTTTTCCGGCTTGGGTTGGCTTGGGATTGTGATCCTCAGATCTCAGCCTCCTGAGTAGCTAGGATTGCAGGCATAGGCCACCAGTGCCCAGCCCTGTTGTCTTTTTTAACACTGTTGTAATTTTCTTGAAGTTTTTGTTATGTTATTATGGAACTTTTTCTTTTCCCTTACATTTCACCTCTCTGTTTACTTCCCAGCAGAAAAACAATTCTAGTTTTCTGTCAAGAAAGAGCAAGATTAAGAGAGCTGTTGATGACTGTGTTTTTGGGACCATAAAGGAAGAAGATCTTTGAAGAAAAGCCTCACCTTAAAAATAACATTTTGGGGCCTGGGAAGGTGGCTCAGTGGTAGAGCGCTTGCCTTGCATGCATAGGCCCTGGGCTTGATTCCTCAGCACCACATAAGCAGAAAAAAAAAAGCCGGAAGTGGCACTGTGGCTCAAGTGGTAGAGCGCTAGCCTTGAGCTGAAGAGCTGAGGGACAGCGCCCAGGCCGAGTTCAGGCCCCACGACCAGACCCAAAATAAATAAATAAATAAATTTATTTTGTAAGGCTGGCTATCTCATGACAGCACAACAGCTTGGGTGTTGGAGTTAGGCTTCCTACCATGAGGAAATTTCTTGGCTTTTTTTACTGTTTTTCTGACATTAAGGTAAATTATATTAATCAACACTACTGTAGTACTCTATGTAAATCTAAAGATTAAAAAGATAGGGGAACTAAAGTTTGTTTTTAATGGCTCATCAATGATAAGTGCAAATTGGAATCAACAAAAAATGAAGTTCATTTATTTTGTCTTCCTAAAATAGATGGTTATCTAGCTTCATAAAGTCTTTTGCATGTTCTAATAGTTCATGAAACAAGTCATGGTGGCACATGTTTATAATTCCAACTCCTTGGGGAGTGGGATTATGAAGATCAAGCTGGGCATGATGATACATGTCTGGGATTCTAGCTATGCAGCAGTGTGTAGATAGGATTATTAGCCCCAAGTGAAAATTCAAGATCCTACCTGAAAAAATAACTAAAATTAAAGAAGATCTGGGTTGTAATTCAGGTGGCAGAGCACTTGCCCACAGGCATGAAGCTCAGAGATCAGACACAGTATAACTGGGCACAGGTGGCTCATGCCTGTAATCCTACTCAGGAGGCTAAGAGCTGAGGATGGTGGTTCAAAGCCAGCCTGGGCAGAAAAGACCTGTGAAACTCATCTCCAATTAAGTACCAGAAATCCTGTAGTAGAGCTGTGGCTCAAAGTGGTAGAGTGCTAGCCTTGAGCAAAAGAGCTCAGGGATAGTACCTAGGCCCCAAGTTCAAGCCCCAGTACTGGCAAAAAAAAACCCCCCCACACATCCAAAACTAAAACCAAAAAACCACCACCAGTATCATCAAAATACAGATATTGAGTTCTGTTCAATAATCATCATGCTATTTTTAATACTTTTGTTTTTGAAATAAAGTATCAAATGCCTTATGTCTCTTAGCTTTTAAATTATATTCATTTTCTCACAAGATTTTTTTTAATCCAGTTTCAGTTAACTCCTACTAATTAATGTAACTATGTATAGAATTAAGGCCATAGTAAAGAAGAGAGAGAGAGAGAATCGATACAATGTCACTAGACAAAAGTGCAGTTATGTTCTATTCTGGATTGTATAATGACATAATATGAAATACATTCTATTGAACGTAGAATTTACTGATGAAAATTCTGTGATCTTTTTTAAAATTTTATTTTATTGTAAAGATGCTGTACAGAGGGGTTACAGTTACATGAGTAAGATAATGAGTACCTTTCTTTTCTTTCTTTCTTTCTTTCTTTCTTTCTTTCTTTCTTTCTTTCTTTCTTTCTTTCTTTCTTCCTTCCTTCCTTCCTTCCTTCCTTCCTTCCTTTCTTTCTTTCTTTCTTTCTTTCTTTCTTTCTTTCTTTCTTTCTTTCTTTCTTTCTTTCTTTCTCTCTTTCCTTCTTTCTTTCTTTCTTTCTTTGTCGGTCATGGAGCCTGAACTCTGGGCCTGGGCACTGTACCTCAGCTCTCCAGCGCAAGGCTCGCACTCTACCACTTGAGCCACAGCGCCACTTCCGGCTTTTTCTGCTTATGTGTTGCTGAGGAATTGGACCCAGGGCCTCATGCATGCTAGGCAAGCACTCTACTACTGAGCCACTTTCCCAGCCCATAAATACATTTCTTGTCGAGCCTGTGATCCTTTTTGAAATGCAGAATCTATTAAATACTCTATAATATTTACAAATCAATGCCTATAGCCCTAATTTCTCATACCTCCAGGTTTTCTATTTCTATCCTAGACGGAGGTAAGACAATCTTGTAGTAGAAGTCATAGATAGACCACGGAAAGTTCCAGATAGTCTCAGGTGGGCCACAGTGAGGGTGCTAATGGATCACAATCAACCTTTGAAGTAAAATGGAAGCTTATCTACTGGGTTTCCAACTTAAAAATATTCAGGGTCTATCCCACAGTATGTGGGGCTCTTGTAGACACTAGAAATTCAAAGCAAATTTTTATTTGGATAAGAAGAGGCTTATAATAGGGCAAACTATATCCAGTTGCTGCCTTTATAGGTTAAAAAATATTGTCTATTTTTTGTGTTTCAACTTACCGTAGAGAGTGAAGAATCCTAGACCATGTGTTGTCATGTCAGAAGTATAGAGTTGACTTGTGTGTTGAAGGAACTTAGAAGTCAAAAGGAAAACCCAGTAGGAAGAGAGACTTTGAGTAGAGTGGAGATGTAGGGAGAGAGACAGGATACAGTAGAAAAAATGGAAGAGAAAACACAGATCAAAGAATAGGAATTGTGTTTAGGAAAGAACAAATCTATGCTGGCAAAGTTTTAGGTTGAGTAGTTCAAAACTGTAACCTCAGCACTCAGGAGGCTGAGGTAGGAAGATGTTGAATTCACAATTAGTCTGGCTACACAGTAACACCCCATCTAAAAGAAAAAAAACCTCTTAGAATAGTTAAGAGAATTACTAGGAGGTAAAGCTAAGTGGAAGCAGTCTCTATATACTAAGGCAGAGAGAAAACAGTTCACATGGTGTACTAAGGTAGCATCCGGACATCCTGATGTCATAAATAGAGAGTTGGTCCCTAACTAGAGGAAGATAGAACCAGAGACATTGTATTTACTCATCTTTTTTTAAAACAGTGAGGCTATTACCACAGTCAGAATAGGAAAAGAAAGATACAAGTGACACCATGCATTCATGTTAAGAAGGAATTAGGATGATAGACGACAAGACTGGAAGCTGGATTTGTAAAATGGCACACTCAATAGTTCTGTGAGAAGGTGGGGGGGGGGGGGAAGGGGATGGATTGGCCCCTTTGGGGATTTCTAGGCCTACTTTTATCTAGGAAGAGTTTGGATGTTTGAATCACACTGGATTTTAACTTGGTCACCGGCTCAGAACTCAGAACTCAATCTTCCAGAAGGCCACCCATGCCAGAGAGATGATGTGTGAGCCCCTCCCTCGCACCTCCCCATCCCGGAAGTGACATCATCACCCTACCAAGGACCCCTCCACCACACTGGTGAAGCCAGGAGCAGCATATCACCTCTAGAAGGTGGGCCACTGTCACTAACCCCAAGGGGGATGGGGTGGCTTTGCAAATGATCAGCATATACCACACTTAGCAACAATGTAGTTAGACTTTACCATGGTTGTGTCTTCTCTGAACATGTGTAGACATTGTATAATTTAGAGTAACAACAAGAACAGTAACAATTATCTAGACAGCATTTACATTGTGTTGGGTGTTATAAGGATGTAGAGATGATTTCAAGTGTTTAAAGGTTACTTGCAACTACTGCACCCTTTTATACAAGGCACTTGAGTATGCCTGGATTTGCCATCTGCTGGGGATATATCTCAGGAACCACAGGACCTGAAAAAAAAAATGCTCCCCAGTCCACCATATTTTCTCCTAACATACCCGTAGTCACCAAAATACCTTCTAGAAACTAGACACACATCTGTTCCTAAAGGCTGTTTATATTCCATAATAACCAGCAAAAGTGATTTGTCCACAGGCAAACATTGAGTTTGAAAGACACAGAAATCATGAGGAAAAAAAGGGAAGAGCTGATTAAACTGTGGTGAGTTCAAGTGATTAAAGGGCAGATATTAAAATGGTAAACGCTTACGGTTTGCAAACGTTGTTATGTGGACCATTAAGCAAATTCTGTTAAATATTTCAGTCAGAAATGACTTTAAGAAAAGTCAGGTGTGGTAGTGCATATCTATAATCCCAGCAATCAAAAGACTAAGAAGAAACTGGCAAGTTCCAGGTCAGCCTGGGCTATGTAGCAGACCTTGTCTCAGGAATGATTTTAAAATCACTCTCCAAGTAAATTCGAGAAGAGCTAAGTGATTTTAAAAAAAATTATATAGCTGCGCACAGGCTCATGCCTGAACTCAGGAGGCTGAGCTCTGAGGATCACAGTTTAAAGCCAGCTGGGGAAAGGAAAGGCCATGAAACTCTTACCTTCAACTACCACCAGAAAACTGGAAGTGGCATTGTGGCTCAAGTGGTAGAGTGCTCACCTTGAGCTGAAGAACTCAGGGGCAGTGCCCAGGCCCAGAGTTCAAGCCCCATGAACAACAACAACAACAAAATTATATAAAACCACATAGATTCCAATGTTTGGTGGCTAAGTGATCCTAAAATACGATGAAAGAAGCCACAAAAGAACTCAACATTAGCAGCAACTCTATTTCCCTGAACTTGAGTTATGCCCCCTTCATAAATCACCTGGCCTCAAGTGACAAGCTCAGTGTGGTGAGATCATGCCATGAAGAGTCCAAGATGGTGCCCTGTTGTCATCCTCCAGGGTAGATGAAGAGGCTAAGGTAAAGCCTTGCTCTAGTCCCTTTATAAGGTAATGATTCCATCCAGGAGGGCTCTCTAGGCTTGCCACTCAATCACCCCCTAAAGATCCTACCACTTAATATTGTCACACGGACAATTATGGTTCCACATGTGAATCTGAAGAACAGCTTAAGAGTATGGCAGTAACTAACTCCAATTTTAAGAAAAGAAAAATAAATTTAATGCTGATCTTGAAGCTGGAACTCAGGGTCTAGACATTGTCCTATATCTTTTTCACTCAAGGCTACAGTTCTACTTCTAGATTTTTGGTGGTTCATCGGAGATGAAAGTCTCAAGAACTTAACTGCCTGACCTGGTTTGGACCCTTGATCCTCAGATCTCAGCCTCCTGAGTAGATTAGGATTATAGGCATAACCCACCAGCACCTGGCCTAACTCCAACTTTTAACCTTTCTTGCGGGCTGGAAGATAGATACAGTTTTTATTAAATAAAAACCATTTACAGTCATTGCCTTACATGCATAGGCTAAGAGGCTGCATTTCACTATTTGCCTTCATTTCATATGAAATGTCAGGATTCTTTTTCTTGCTGACCAGTAGTGTTAAGTTCCACAGATGCCTCAGTCTCATTGTATTTGTGGAAATAGTTGTCAGAGTAAGGCTGTACAGTACTGTGAAAAGTCAGAGTAAAATAGCCTCAGGCTTTCCCCTGGCCTGCCTTGGCACTTCTGTAGAGGTGGAAATGAAAGGCAAGGATAAGGGTTTTGAGAAGGGAAAATAAGACTGAAGCCAGGTGAAAAATGAACCCTTTAATAACTCAGAAAACTGCACTTTTCTAAGTTACTCATTATCTGGACTGAGCAAACATTCCCAGGCTTTGGGGATGTTTCCTATGCTTTTCCTATGCCCAGACTTAACACACCCTGAACTATGATCTCTAGGGAAGGAGATGTTTCTAGGGTTTGAAAGGAAACAAGAGGCCAGAAAAAAAATGCACTTATCCTGTGTTGTCTAGTATTACCGTTTTGTTTTGTTTTGTTTTGTTTTGCTTGCTGCTCAGAAAAAGCCTACTGACTTTCAGAGTTTCTGGGATCACATTTTGAAGAGTAAACTTAATGACCAAATGTGGATATCATCGTTTCTTGGGTGCTTAGGAGAGTTGTTGTTGTTGTCTTAATTGACATTTTCAATGATATGCAGTACTACTCATTGCACTGTTAGGGAGATTGCTTCTTAAGAGCTTTGGAATCAAAGTTCTCACCTACCTGACATTCCAACGTAAGGTTCTAGTTCACATAGCCAATAGCTCACATCTCATTGTTGCATTGAGACCTGTTGGAAACAGGCATGATTTCTCACCAAAGAGCCCCTGTCACAGGGGGCCCAGGGAGTCTGGAATCAAGGAGGTCTCATTGATGGATAGGTAGTGAAGGTACATAGACTCCTCAGGGACTCTCGGCTCAGGAAGCAAACTCATATACAGTACATTAATTTTTCCAATAATTTCTGCTTGAAATGCTTGAGAATGTGGTGGATGATTCCTCCAGCACTCATCATGCTTCCCACCTGAATTCAGGGCTTGTTTCTGCCTCTGGTCATCCGTGTGAGTCTAAGCAAGTTTTGTGGCCAAGATTACTTCAGTTCTCATCTGCATACTGAGTTGTAAGAATATGTACATGTTCTGGATTGTTTGTTCTATGTCTTGTCAGCTTGACTATACTGGAAACTACATCTCCCAGAATTCCCATTCCCTAGAGCTAAGCCTAGGCTATTGAAACTACTCCCACAGGGGATAGGCCCAAGTTCTGCTGGACTTCCCAGAATCCTCAGAGACTAGTGTGTAATTCTAAATGATTTGCTTAAACCTTTGTACAAGGTATTCCCTCACCAGAGGCCAACTGTTTAGCTTTTGGGAAGAAAAGGTTAATTAGGGCTAGATACTATGTAGATTCCTGTCCAAGGAACATCTTAGTTCAGCTCTGTGAAAATCGGTGTGATCTGGCCTGTGTAGGCTTATGCAAAGAAAAATGACAAATGGATGTCAAACTGTTGTTGTGGTTGTTGTTTTTCCTCTTCCCACACTTCTGGTTATCTTAGTAACAACAAAAACTGCAAGATCTAAGATGGTTACAATTAGCAAAGAGAGACAAACTGTTGGTTTGAATGCTTGGCTATAACATTTTATTGCTGTGTTGGTTGCTAGAGGAAAACATTGGTCTCCTTGGCTTCACATTTTTCCTCACAAGCAAATTTGCTTGAGAGGATAGGATGACACATGCATACACAAACATACAAACAAGTGACTTATTTTCTTGTGGTGTAAATGCTTTAAACTGTTGGGGAACCGAAATGAATGTGACTCTGCTGTAGATAAATAGGCGCTACTCATCTCTAGCATTGACTCAGTTATTTCCTGGTTAGGTCTGAGGACTCCAGGTGTTTCAGGAGATGCCTGATTCATGCTTACCTTGTGTTAGAGGAAGCACTGGGGAAGCCATGCTTTTCTGGAGTACGTCTCCCTCTGGTGGCCATTCCTTTCTACCTATTAAAAAAAAACAACATGTACTTTTGGAACATGGGAGCAAAGCCCAAAGTTAGGAAGAAAAGTCTCTTACTTTGCAGGTACAATGTGTCCTTCAAAACCTCTTTGTGTTCTGACCACGTCTCTTCCTAACAATTATATCTGGAAAATTGCTAGGTCACTTTCAGCTTCTTCTGATAAGTGCTTAACTATTGTTTTTGAGAGTCTTCTGCCTTTTCCATGACTATAACAGAAACATAAAATCCTTTTAGCCCAGCACCTTCTTTTACCTAATAAGAAACCGTCCTAGGTTTCACAAACACATTTTAACCTTCACAAGGCAAGTTGTCATGATCATGGTCTATAAAGTTTGTGAATTCTATGAGCTTTGACAATACAATTATTTCTTCCACATCAGGTGATGTTTACATTTTTTTCCTTTTGCTTAGTGTCAGCTGTTCCCTCTTTCCCTCTCATTCCCTCCCTCCCATCTCTGCCTTTAAGTTGCTTAGTTCATTTTCTGTCCAGTGCAGCTGATGAGCTCCTCTATTTTATGTTTTCCTGTTCCCTCTGATTCTGCGTCCTCCTCCTAGCTTCCCTCAGATCTGTGTCTATATATACCATATAAGTGGTCAAGAACATGGACTCATTTAGCAATGATGCGACAAAATGAGTGGAAGTCCTTTGTTTCTCGAGTCTTGTTTACTTTGTCATATCGTCTTGCATTTTGGCTTTAGCATCCACATATCAGGGAGACCGGGTGCCATTTGTCTCTTGAGCACTGGCATTTTAAGCAATTTATAAGGTCATCAAGTGCTTCCAGGGCAGAAAACCTCAGAGCTAGTATTTCTGAGCACGTGCTATATGCAGCCATTGTGGAAACGCAGGGGATTCAGTGATGTACATCGACCCTTCATATTGTCTCCTCTATCTAGAATACTTCCCTTGTTCCCTGAACAATTGACTTCTCTGATTATATACACACATATTTAAAGTGACAACCAAATTGTCTGTCCTTGTGGCATTCTTTCTCTTTAAAACTCTTCTGGTTGTAATCCAGTAACCCTCTCTACTGGAAATCTCATGAGTAGAACTGGAGACCAAATAGATTTTTGATGAAGACAAAAACAGCAGATTTACCTGAAGGGAAGAAAGCATAAGCTTCAAGGCCCCTGCAAAAGGCTGGATAATAGTCCCTTAAAGATGTCCATGCCCTAGGACCAGGCAGGGGCATGCATGCCTATAACCTTAGTTATGCTGGAGGCTGAAATTGGGAGGATGGTAGTTTGAGGCAAATAGGGCAAAACAGTTAGCAAGATCCCATCTCAATCAATAAGCTAGACATGGTGGTGGTCATCTGTCCTTCCAGCCACACAGGAGGCATAGATAGAAGGATGACTGTCTGAGATCAGCATCAGAATAAAACATGAAATTCTATTCAGAAAATAACTAGACCAAAAGGATCTGAGGGTATGGCCCAAGTGGTCAAGTTTCTACATAGCAAGGATGAGGCCTCAAATTCAGACTCTAGTATCACCTCCAAAAAAAAAGTCCATGAAATCCCAGAACCAGTGGATTTGTTAGTCAGCATGGCAAAGGGGCTTTGCAAATATGATTAAGTAAAGGTGTTGAGATGGGACAGTACTCTGAATTACCCACGTAGGTCCCCTGTGAGGCCTTACAGGGAGAAGAGTCAAAGTTAGAGAAGATGCACAGATGGAAGGCAGAGTCCAGAGAAGAGAAATGGGTCCTGCAGCTCCATTGGGAGATGGAGGAAGGCTATCAGCCAGGTGACACAGATGACCTTCAGAAGCTGGATTCTCCTGAGAGCCTCTAGAAAGAACACAGCACTTTGTCCACTTGGATTGTAACCCAGTGGAAAGATTGTGGGCTTCTGATCTAACCAGTAACACAAATATGTTTTAAGTCATTAGAATTGTGGCAGAAACTAATGTACAGTCTTCTCTGAACACATCCCTTTCAAGATTCTCAGTGGGACTCCAGAAATGTGTTCACAGAACCATAATTTTTGTAAACTTTGCACAATTAAATATTTCAATTAGCACTAAGTGAAACTCATTTTGTGTGAGCAGCATTGGGTGGCTACAGGCAGAAAAGTAGTTGGAGATCCTTTGGTTTACATTCTTGTAGTTCATCGTCACTTTCAGGCAGCTGCAAGATGATGTTGGAGTGTAAGATATCATTTCCTTGAAGACCCCTAGGGTCCACTGGGTTCAAGTCCCTAGGGAAGGGAGAGCAGTCACAGACTGGGTGTCATCTCATCAGAGAAGAAATAAGTGTCCGCACAGATTGGACAAAAGCAGTCATTCATGAAGCAGAGATAAATTTAAATATAACAATGAATAGACTCTCTGGTTATTTGATAAGCCCACTAAGAAAGAATGAACATATTATATGCACACACTGGGGTAAAGTCGCAGCAGTTTACTGGTACCAGAGAAGATCATCTAAACTCAGTACCCACCTCCAGGAAGGCATTAATGACAAACTGAAAGTGTGCCATGGCTTCAGAATGATATTTATGATAAATCACCAACCATGAAAATGTGCAATGCTCGAAGATATCTATTTATTTATGTATTTAGTGCTGTGATCAAACCTGGTTCTTTTGCATTTCAGATAAGTGATCTACCATACTTAGCCAAGTCCCCAGCTTGCCCTGAGTGGTTAGGATTCTTCTGAGAAAGAAATATGGTACACACAGACTGCGCACCAGTGGCTCAGGCTTGTAATCTTAGCTACTCAGGGGCCTGAGATCTGAGGATCGAGGTTCAGAGCCAGCCCTGGCAGGAAAGTCTGTTAAGACTTTTATCTCTAATTAAGCACCAGAAAACTGGAGGTGGTGCTGTGGCTGAAAGTGGTAGAGCACTAGCCTTGAGCTGAAGAGCTGAGGGACAGCACCCAGGAGCTCAGGGACAGTGCCCAGGAGCTCAGGGACAGTGCCCAGGAGCTCAGGGACAGTGCCCAGGAGCTCAGGGACAGTGCCCAGGAGCTCAGGGACAGGGCCCAGGAGCTCAGGGACAGGGCCCAGGAGCTCAGGGACAGGGCCCAGGAGCTCAGGGACAGTGCCCAGGCTGAGTTCAAGCCCCACAACCAACAGAGAAAAAAAAAAAGGATAAAAGAAATATGGTACACAAAAATGGAGGGATAAACAGAGAACAAAATGCAGCAGTGGTATTCTCTAGACACTTTCTTGAAAATGAACTATACAACTTGTGTGGGGACAGAAGGGTATAATGATTCCCCCAAAAGAATATAAAATATGAAATTAGAAACAGAATAAAATGATTATTAAAAATAGGGCCAAACTTAAAAGGCAGAATCTTCCTGTAGAAAACAAACAAAAAACTCAAGGCTAGTTATTAAAAGGAAAAATTCCAAAGATAAAGACTGGAAGTAAATTAGTGAGTTAAACAGCAAGTTAGTGGAATTCAGGAAGGAGTAGTAAAACAATCAGTATCAGTCATGGGGACTCTCCAGGCCAGGGGCGACACAGAAGGTACAGTGATCTGAATAACCAGAATCAAGCCTGACCTCTGCAGAATCCGAGAAATGGGTGAGAGGGAAACCAAGCATAATCACCAAATTCCTGCTAACTGCATAATTCTTGCTCTGTACCCCCAGCTGGCTTGCTCTGGCCTATTGCAAAAAAACCCACCTACGTGTGGCTTGTGTCCTTAAGTACCCAGCAGATGTGCATATTGGGGGCTGCATTCTTAAGCTCTACAAGCTAGATGCAGAAGCCACTGTGTGACAATAAAGGCTCCTAGCCTATTTGATGGAGTGTTGGGGTGTCTTGTAGGGAAACCGGGGTATTACAGAGGGAAAAACTGGGAAGGAGCAAGGGAAGAGGTGACATCCTGCCTAATGCAACTGTAACGTCCCTATATATCACCTTTATAATAACAAAGAGAAAAACAAAACAACAAAAAATATGGAAGAGATTTCCTCAAGCTTGACCATCATCCTAAACACCTACAGGACATCGTCAAGAGCAAGCTAGTGCAAGCTAGTGACGGTAGATGGGCCCTGAAAGGGTGGGCTCCAGGCATCCTGGAGAGTGACTTGGTTGGGTGAATGGTGCTAAAACTCAGGGAGAAATGGGTCCAATGCTATGGTGGTGAGGCGGAGTCCTGTTGGCTCTAGGACCCTACTAGATAAATAAAACATTTTGCATGAAAGAAATAATTTAGTAAATGGACTTCTGACTCCATGTTTAATTGTGGCTCTGTGTGTGAGAGATACAGAGACTGACACAGACAGACAGATAGTTAGTAAGCCTGGGAATCTCACAAAGCCAGCTGTGAACTTTTTTAAAGAAAAGAAAAAACCTAGGGTCATATTTCAAAGCAGTCAGCCAATCTTGCTTTTGCGAATGTGGGTTTGGATTCCAGGAACACCTGCAGCTATTAATTGATGCTTAATAGCATCTAATAAAACGGTCCTTGTCCTTTGAAGCTTCCACTTAGCGGAAGAGATGGGCCGGATATTTAGAGAGAGGTGGAAGTGTAAAATCCTCGGAGTGTGTGTGAGTGTGGGGGGGTGGGGGTTGCAGATCAGATAAACCCTGTCTGTCTGGGTGGTCTGCAGTTGGGTGAATTCAGAGCAGGCCAAGCCGCGGAGCGGGCCTCCCATCTGCAGGGGGCGCTCGGACTCCGCGGGGCTCGGCCGCTCTGGCCCGGCGGAGGTCCCGCCTGCCTCAGTGGTCCTCCCCCCCCAGCGGTCGCTGAGGAGCCGCCGCCGCCGCCGCCGCTTGGGTCGCAGGTACTTGGGCCGGGGCGGAGGGCAGCACCTGGGCGGGAGCCGCTGACGCCTCGCACGTGCCCTGAGGGCTGTGACGGCCTGCGGAGCCCGGCCTGGGGCTGAGGCCGAGGGCGAGGATGCGACGCCGGCGCCGGCACCTGGGCAGGCCGGCCGGCCGGCCGGCGCGGGCCCGAGGGCGTCCTGGCGGCGGGGGCGGGGGCTCCGGGCCCGGGAGGGAGGCCAGGAGGCCGGGCCTCTTCAGAACGGAGCGACGCTGTCCGCGGGGAGGCGCCGGTGGGAAGCCCCGCGCGACCCCAGCTCGACCCCTCCCGGGGAGGACGGGGCGCGCGGACGCGTTCGCGCCGTCAGCTGGGCAGAACCTGCGGGTCAGGAGCCCACCTGTGAGGCCGACGTGGCCCGTGGCGCTGGGGGGCGTCCCTTCCACGAGGCCTTCCTTGGGGGGTGCTGGGCCTCCGTGCTGTCCCCGAGCCGTTTCCGCTCCAGGCTGGGCCACAGCTCCATCCTCCCCCCCCCCCTTTTTTTTTTTTTTGCTGGTTAATTGGAGAGGAGTCTCTTGGACGTACCTGCCCGGACTGGCTTCGATCCACAAATCTCAGCCTCCTGAGTCGCTAGGATTACAGGCGTGAGGCCCTGGCGCCCGGCCACCACCTAGGCCTTTTGGTTTTAACCTGCAGTGCGGGGAAGAAGCCAGCCGCGTTCTCCCCACGTTTCCCAGCGAGGAGCTCAAGAAAAAGGTCCTTAGTTTTTCTGTAGAACCGTCTGGCTGCACGGCGTAGAGAGTTGACTGCAGATCATCAGGAGGTAAAAATCGAGTAGTAACCCATCTCTTCAGAACATGGGTGTCCAGGAGCTTCTTAAAGAGCTGTACTGTGGTGTGGTGAGGATATTTATGACAGGGTCAACTGTCTGCAGTGTGTATTTCCTATCAGATATTTGCCAACTGATTTAAAATGCTTGCAACTGTAGTTGACTCTTGGCACAACCTTGATAAGTACCAGCTCAATTTACATATAAGGAAACTTAGGCACAAAGAGTCTCCCTTGGCCAAGGTCAGTTTGGCAAAGGATAGTGGGATGTTAGCCTCAGTAAGATTTTTGTTTCATTTTGGTTTGTAGTCCACTAATTTCTCTCAGAGTTAGTGTTCGTGGCAATATGTGAAAGCCCTGTTCCAAGCTACTTTTTAGTTTAAAAGGAGTTTAGTGAGAAAAATGTTTGCTCATTAAGGATTATAGTGATAATAAAATTAAGCATGTGGGAGATACTACATTGAGTACATTATGATTTGAAATAAATGGCTCTGTTTGGTTAACACATTTCATTGGTTTTATGTGTTTCTGGACCCATTTTAGTGAGTTTGCTTTGCCTTTTCAATATTATGGTAACAGTGCCAAAAGGTATCCAAGATTTTCCAAGACTGTAAGTTAATGTTTACAGGAGGTAGGAAAGTCATCGTGCAGTGATGATGAGGTAGATGCAGGGCATGTTATTTAGCACAAATTGAGTTACTTTACTATGAAAGATAAGAGATTTTCACAGTTTCTGACACTATTAGAATGGAAATTGTTATTTACCATTGTGGAAAGAGGTTGGATATAATATGGTTCCAAGTCTCCTAGCCTTTTTTGGATTTAAGGGTTTGCCTATTCAACTAGGCTCTGGTGGCTCATCCCTGTAACTGTAGCTACTCAAGAGGCTAAGATCTGAAGAGCCAGGTCAGGCAGACAATCTCTTTGAAGACTCTTTGAAGAGTCTTTGGAGACTCTTCAAATAACCAGCAAAAAGCTGAAAGTAGAGTGTGACTCAAGTGGTAGAGCATCAGCCATAGGCAAAAAAAGTCAAGAATGTGCCAAAAAAGCAAAGAACAATGAATTTACATATTCAATAGAGCATGGTAGCTCAAGCAAACAGCTGAAAGAAGAGTATGGCTCAAGTGGTAGGGCACCAGCCATGAGCAAAAAAGCCAAGGGTGAGTACCAAAAAACCAAGAAAAGACAAGAGAGAGGGATTATATATTCATCAGAGTATGGTGGCTCAAGCCTGTAACCCTGGCTTTCTGGGAGGCAGAGATTGGAAGCTGCAACCTGTGCATAACAGTTTGAGAGACTCTATTTTAAACAATGGCTGAATACTGTGGCACATGCCTGTTATCTCCCGTGACATGAGGCAGTGCAAATGGGTCAGTTGCAACCTGGTACAGCAGTACCCTAGTCCAAAAATAACCAGTGCAGGCTGGGAAGGTGGCTCAGTGGTAGAGTGCTTGCCTTGCATGCATGAGACCTTGGGTTCGATTCTTCAGCACCACATAAGCAGAAAAAGCCAGAAGTGCCGCTGTGGCTCAAGTGGTAGAGTGCTAGTCTTGAGCTGAAGAGCTCAGGGACAGGGCCCAGGCCCAGAGTTCAGGCCTCATGACTGACAAAAAAAACCAACCAACCAAACAAACAAAAAAACAAAAAACCAGTGCAAAAAGGCTAAGGGTGTGGCTCTAATGATAGAGTGCCTGCCTTGCAAGCAAAAAACCAGAGTTTAATCTTCAACACTGACAAAACCCACAAAAGTTTACCTACAGTATTCATTCAGCAAGTATGTAAATGCACAGATTGTCTTTTATGCTCAGGTGCTGTTCTAAGCATTGAGGATATACGAGTGACCAAAACAAAGTCCTTGTCTTTTAGAGCTAACATTCCATGGGAAAACATGGGCACCATAAACAAAATAAAATGTTACAGTTAAAA